CTACCAGATAAATTTAAGTTACCGTAAGTAACAGAGTAAACAAAGTAACAAGTGAACAGAACTGTGTGTCAGGTGGCCTGGGGCAAAGGATCACTGCCAGGCAGACTAGGGTATTTGAACTAAGGCGTCAGGTTGGAGGCTTTGCTATGGAGCAATTTGGCATGACTGAAGAAGAGGAAGTGGCAATGTGTGGAGAAGGGCTTAGTGGTTGGAGGTGAAGTCAGATGAAAGTGGGTGACAACTCCATCTGTTCATGCTGGTCAGTTACTCTGCTGCCGCAAGTGCCCAAGGAGCTAAGCAATCGGATGGCATAGGACAGCTCAGACGGCAAGAGGGATCCCTGGACTGCTGGAACAAACAGGGAACTGGACACCATTTAAAGGCACCCGTGAGGACTGTGCTGCTTGTAGGTGAAGGAAAATGTCAAGAGTCGTGTTTGGAGGTCCAATGATCAGAGCTTGCCCAAGGCAGAGGGGAAACGGATGCCTCCAGTTTCTGAGTGAGTGGTTAAGGATACCACTTTGGGGGCAGAAGGAATGGAGGGAGGGCCCTACTTTGGGAGTATTATGTCATGTGTATGCTGACTCAAAATCAGCATGTCAAGTAAGTAGCTCAGCACCAATCTGGCAGCCAGAGGGCCGGTGAGATGGGGACACTGGAGTACTTCAACCATCTGGTGACTGTCCTAGTTTGGGTTTCTATTGTGTTGATGGCACATTATGACCAGAAAGCAAGTTGGGGAGTTAATTTGGCTTACACTTCAGCATTGTTGTTCATCACTACATTTCTTTAATGATGCAAAGGTATGTTGCATTCTTTTATGCTGCATTTGTTTAACTCTGTGAAGCTGTGTGACTTTGCCTGTCTAAAACACCTGATTGGTTTAATAAAGAGCTGAGAAAGTCTGAGGACTGGAGGCACCGAGATGTTTCCAACCTTGGTCCTTGGGTGTGATCCTCAATCTTTATTATGTTTACCTGCTCTATGGGGAAAGTCGAGTAGACCCATCCACTCATCTCTTCTGGGAAGTCTAGTTACAGATTGTCTGGCCTGCGTAAGACCTCTTCACCTGCCTATCTCTGTCAAACCAGTCTCTGTCAAACAGGTGCTGGGTGAGAACAGTTTCATTAAGAAAATGCCTTGGGAGACAAGTGAAATGTATTCGGCCTTTGGCTGTAGAAAGTCTCAGGGGACCTGATAACATGTATACATGAAGACTGTAAAGGCAGCTATGTCTTCTGTACCTTCTTGGCTCAAGGTTTTGTGACGTCAGAGTCCTCTTCTACGGTTCTTCAAGTTCTATTAAATACTATGCCTGTCTTCAAGATGGCTGTTCGTAGTCTCTGCCAGTCTAAACTTAAACTTACAATAGGAGACAGATCCTAAAAAGCTCCTACACATCTTGTTAACTCACTGGCACGTGGTTATAGGCTCACCTTAAAGTAACCTGAGTAGCCAGGGGAATACAGTGTATAGTCTGTGGTGTGGTCAAGCATGCTGAAGATGGGGAACAGGCAGTTCCTCAAACAAATTGAGTACTGATGGCTGGGGTGTGAGTCAAGGAACTGGTTGCTGGGAGGAGGAGGTGTCCAAATTCTTACTGTGACTTCTGAACAGCCCGATGTAGGCAGTCAAAATCTCATTTTAAAAAATAATGTAGCTGGTTTAAAGGAATCACGTTCATGAATTAGAGACTACCCTGGTAAAGGTAGTTTGATGGGCACAGAGCCGCTGCATTCTTGAATACAGAACTAGCAAATGATAACATCCAGGAATGCAAGAAAAAAAGACAGACCTTGGCCTGGGGAGATGGCTCAGCAGGAAAGGGAACTTGCCACCAGGCCTTACTACGGGGACTCAATTGGTGGGAAGAGACTTGACTCCTAAAAATTGTCCTCTACCTTCTGTGTCCTCTTCCCAAATAAATAAATGTAAAATAATAATAATAAATGAAAAAAACCCAAACTGACCACAGAAAGCCAATGGGAGACAAAAAAAAAAAAAAAAAATGACAATCATTGTAATTCTCAATGTGTTATGTACAGTGGGTAAAAGGCAGAAAATGGCAGAATGGGATGAACACAATCCAACTATATCCTATCTACAAGCAACTCACTTCAAACATGATGGTACAGGTAGGTTGAAAATAAAAAAGGAAACAGTTACCATCCAAACTGAGAAAAAAACAAAACAAAAAAACAACAGACAGAAATTGGTGCATTAGCATCAAATAAAGAAAGTTCAGAGCAAAGGAAATTACTAGGAGTCCAAAAGGGAGTGTCTTTAACAACAGAGGGGTAGATCCAGCAAATCTAAACATGTACATACACATCAAACAAGAGCTTCAAAGATATGTAAAGCAAAAAACCTTACTATGCTGTAAAGAGAAAACAGCAAAGCACAGGAATAGGTATTACCAATTATATAGCTGCTACTCCACCTACAGAGACAGAACTAAAGTCAAAAAGGACAAAGAACCAGCAACCCCCTTATCCCAGGGGACACAACCTTTACCAAGGTAACCACGCACAGAACAGCTCTCACACAAATTCAAGAAGACTGGAAGCATAGTGTGTGCTCTGGCCACAGGGGAATCACTTTAACAATCTGAAACAGGAAGACAAGAGGACAATCCCCAGCTAGTTGGAAGCTGGATAGCACACCTCTAAATAATCCACAGTACGAAGAGGATGACACTGAAGGAAACCAAACACAGAACTAGCATGCAACTGGAAGAAGGTTACAGCTTACTTTAGAAAACAAGCTCTTGAGCTAATAACCCAAACCTTAAGCTAGCAAAAGGAGCAAGATGAGCCCAAAGCAAACAAGAGGAAATGAAGATTAGCTTCCCCACTGCAGGGATCTCCATGGGGCTGCTTGCTTCTTTTTCTTTGGGGGGGGGGTGTCAAGACAGGGTTTCTTTTTTTTTTTTTTTTTTTTTTTGTAGCGTTGGAGCCTGTCCTGGAACTCCATTTGTAGACCAGGCTGGCCTTGAGTCAAAAGAGATCTGCTAGCTCTGCCTCCCCAGTGCTGGGATTCAAGGCATGCACCACCGCCGCCGCCGCCGCCGCCGCCAGCTATTGTTAACAGCTGCCTGCATGATGGGTGAGCACCTCAAGCCTCACATTCATGGCAGGCCAGTAGGCTATGTCCTTTAACTTTGCAAATTCAGCTCTGGTATTTCTCTTGATGTGGATTCCAGCAGTCCTGGGAGCACTGGCCACACAGCAGGCTTTGTGCAGAAGGGTACTGAGTTCTGTGCACTGTTTTCCAATTCTGTCACCAAGAGAAAGCCTGCCCCTATTCTGTTCCCACAGACATTACTAGGTTGGGTGGGCCTAGAAAAGAGCTGACAACTAAATAGAAGCCCTTATACACACATCGGGGCAGTAACTTCTAGGAAACTGGGCCTTCCCACCAGTGTAAGCCTCAACAATCTCTAACAGCCCAATTAGAGGTTATGTGTGGGACGGAAGACAAGCTCCAAGCTTGCTTTCCCTACCCTCTACTTCTGTCCCCTCTGCTGCCTGCTGGTTTTCAAGACTTCACAGTTCAACCCATAGAATCAGATGTGGTAAACCTAATGCTTCTGTGTCAGAATGCATTGGAGGTCTGAGGGCCTACAAATGGACCAATACCAAATACCAAGTCACAGCATAAGACACCAGAACACATGTATCTACTGTAGCCCTTCATCCTTCAGACCATCCAAATGGGTCCAATCACAGCAGGTCACAAGATTTCTAGGCCTCTTCTGTGAGCCTGGGATGGAGCCACAAAAATATTTGTCAACATTCTTCCTATGACCATGCTGAAGACACACTTAAGTACAACTAAACTGTTGGGAGGCAGGTGGATCTTTGAGTTCAAGGCCAACCTGGTCTACAGAGAAAGTTCTAGGACAGCCAAAGAAAAACTTAAAAAAAAAAAAAAAAATTAAAGCTACTACTATGGCCTGGGGACAAGCAGCCACCACAATCCACGTTGGATCCAGTTGGCCACCTACTTTATCAGCTGTTTTCTCCAGTGATTTGGGAAAGGATCTCTGTGTATGTATGTTAAACAAGGTTTGGTTCTTGCCTATCTCCTTGAGTCATGAAGAAAAGCATCTTGCTCTCTGGCAGACCTAACCAGCAGATCACCAGAAGCACCTGCCCAAGGCTCTAACAGGCAATCCAGCGGGCTATGATTACCACTGCAAATTAGTGACCTTTGTAAAGCTTTGTTACAATGCACAGCAAACCAAGTCATACTACATCCCTTTCTAAATTTCTGAGGCCAGTGCTGCACATGGAGAACATATAATCAGCAAATCCTACAGTTAACTCTGCACACTCTCCTACTATGCCAGATGCAGCACACAGGACAGGAAGTAGGACAGATTTTCACGGATGGAAACACACACACACACACACACGCACGTGCGCGCCTTCAGGGGGCACAACTACCTGAACCTGGGATGACTTGCACAAGAGAAACTTTTAAGAATAATAGAAGACAGATCAATTAAGGGGAATGGCGTCACAGAAATAGAAACAGCCTAGATAGAGACCCAAGCATATGCAGATGGTTAGTGTGAGGCATCCCAAGTCTGGGGAAATAATTTACTATTGAGAACCCCTGGAAGGTGTGTGGTGGGGCACACTGAATCAGTACTCTGGAGGAAGACCTGAGTCCCAGACTAACCTGGTCCTCACAGTTTCACACAAGTCTCAAAACAAAGCAAACAAAAAGGGGCTGGAGAAGTGGCTCAGTGGTTACGAGCACTTGTGCTCTTCCAGAGGACCCGGGTTCTATTCCTTGAACCAACAGGCTGTACATTTCATCAATCTAATGCTGCGGTGGCCAACTTATGAGAGGGGGCTGGAAAACTTTAAAACCTGAGCTATATTTGGACCCCTATTTATCATCCTCACGCAGAGTGATGGGACTAGAGTGAAACCATAAAAAAAGATGTGGTTTTGAAGAAAATTTTAATTTAAAAGAATCAAAAGAAAAACTGAACAGTGCCTAAATCTTTTATTTTTCATAACCTACATTTTTTTTCAAATTAGACAGTTTTACACTGAATGACACAAAAGGAAACTTAAATTACCAATAGTTTACATGTAAGCTTGATTCCAGTCTTAATGAAAAGTAGAACAGAAACAGAAACCCTCAGGCAAGCTTCCACTACACTCCCTTCTGTGACTCGCAGCTGTTAGTGCTCCTGGAATCTTCGATTGTCTGCTGCTTTCCGTAAAACAGGCTACAAAGCACACAAACCCACAACTACAGCTCACTGAAGGGGACACAAAGACAGGTATGCACCATCAGTTGCCTGCTGTGACACACTGGACCAGTTTTTCAATATCAACTGCAGAAACCCTAATACAGCAATGTAAGACTTTTTTTTCCTTTTTTTTTTTAAACTTTTTTTTTTTTTTTTTTTTTTTTTTTGCCACCCACCAGTGGCAACCAGTGATGCAATGACAGGAAGAATTCACAGAGACATCATGACACCGACTACTGAGAGAGGAATCACTTGAATTCATGTCTGGTGAAATGGGGCCAGATTCCTATTCCATATTTTCATATGATAATTAAGCATCATCACACAATTTTACAAGTTAAAAAATGTCATTTGTGACTGTGGTATCTCTGATTCTATACCTTGAGATACTGAAAGGAATGAGTAAACTTAAAAAATAGATTATGAAAAACCACATATCACACTTGCTGTATGTGACATAGCAAGAGTCTGCATGCACCCTCAACAGCTCCCTACTGTGATAACTCCATTGTTTTCTGAGCGGAAAACCTCAGTGATCAGGAATTTTCTGTTTTGACACAGCTATTTGGCATATCACCTTTGCTTCCTGAAAAAGAGTGTCATTACAAAAAAAAAAAAAAAAAAAAAAAACAAAAAAAAAAACCAGCAAACAAAAAACCACACATCTGAGCAAGGCTCCTGGTGCCAGGCTGTCACTGGCTAAGCAGTGATTACAGTGTCCCAACCTTGTGCACGTGCCCACCTGCCCTTGCATGTGGCCATTGAGCCTTACACTTCCAGCCAGCAGACAAGACAGCAAGCACCTATAGCTGGCTCTGCCACACACACTTCCTGCTGCAATGCTCAGGCTTGGGGAAAGGACATCTCATTAAAAGTCAAAGTTCCTCGGTGAGAGCACCCTTGGAGATAAGGGATGCTGATCATAATCTGGCCCCTCTTCCAGAAAAGATGTATGTGAAGGACCTGAGGCTCAGGGTCCAGATAGACAGTATCTGCTAGTGTGGGCTCAAGAGGTTGGTTGTTTCTTCTTATTCTTCTTTTTTTTTTTTTTTTTTTTTTTTTTTTTTTTGTCAGTGATCTGACATCTACAGGGAATTCATCCTATGTTCCTTTCACAGGCATTTGAAACAGCACTGCGTAGACTCCTATGTAACTGAATGACAGATGCTCTGAAGGAAAACGGTCACATGCATCAGGCATCTTTGCCTCTGGCAGGATAAATCACTTAGCAAAGAATGATTTTAATTAGTACATTTGTTTTTTACTTTCACTGGAAGATCCTGCCAGCCTCTGCTCTCTATACTCTCCTTCAAAACCCTTAAACATCAGATATGATTGATTAGTATGTTCTTACATACTTTTTTTAAGAGTATGAAAACATACAAAGGCTTTTAATAAGACTTTCCATTCCCCTTTTGCAGCAAAGAGGCAAAATCAGTTCAACACACCAGTATAAGGGGGAAAAGAAAAACCTTAACAAATTAAAATAATACTCAAACCACAACATTTAGTTTATCTACATCCAGCTCAACAGTAACATTTATAATATATCAATAATTTTTATCAGATTCTTCTCTGTAGGGTACCTTTCTCATATGTTCTGATTATTTACACTGTACAGGCAGAGCACACTCCCAAGTGCACAGATTTAACACAGTAGCGACTATTTGCATTTACAGGATTTTTCAACAATCTGAAAAAAGATCAACTGTTGAAGATCTGTAAGGTATGTCACAGACACCACTGGAGTTCTTGTACAACAGTGAGCATACTCAGCAAACCACCACCAGGAGATCCATATGGTGACTGAGTAACCGATCCACTCCCACCAACCCAGGGGCCGGTCTCCGTGAGCTCTAAGCTGTCTTATACAAAAGTTAAGGCAAAGTCATTTTCAAGTTTAAATAAAATTCAAGTCTTTAAATATTGGATGGAAATCATTTTTTTTTCTTTAAAAAAAAATCAAAACAACCTTCAGTCATATTAAATAGCATTTTGTGGAATAAGCTGTATGGTTACACTTAGCAGGAAATATTTTTAAAGTCGGCTGCTCAGAATACTTAAAAGAAAAATTTTAGGTGTTTTAAAACAAAATAATTTATCTGTAACTTTATTATAAACTTGCTAACTTTACTGCACCCTTGTTCTTGGAAAATGCAGCACTTCTTAGAAAGAATCAATGAGACCCTTGTCTTGGAGGTAAAAAGAGCAAGGATTCTGTCCTCCACCAGACAGAGGGGGACCACAAACACTACGCTCTCATGGCCAGGTACTTCTAAATCCATGTGCCGATGCAGAGGTACAGGAAGACATCCACACAGAGCTGGTTAAGACATGACTCTCCAGCGAGAATGCGTGGGGGAACACAGACAGAGCAGACACAGAGTCAGGGGACCAGGTAGCCTGCTCACAGGGACCAAAACATGGTACAACTTCATGGTATGATGTCAGTGGGCAACAGAGTTTCTATTTTCATCTAGAGTCTATTCACAATGTGCTTTGAATTTATTTTACATAATAGACACTTGGAACTGGAGTGAGGAGCTGGTTACTTGCTCGCAGGTCTTTCTAGGGTGCTCTTTGCAGGTTCATTCTGCTCACTAGGTCAAAGAGAACTGTATATACATATGTATCTTTTTAAAGCTAGAATTTCCTGTTAACTAACAGTTTAGATGAAAACACAGCTCCTGTGCCAGTATGTCAGTGCCCTGACATTGCCAGTCCCTTGCTCTGTGAGGCCAAGGCTGCCCCTGCTTGTGCCCAGCCCTCATCCATCTGTTGGGGACACCCTAACCATATACACTTGCAGACCAGTTGTTAAAAAAAAAAAAAAAAAAAAAAAAAAAAAAAAAAAGTAGCCGTTCCCTTAATTTAGAAAAACTCATATATAGCTTGCATTCAGAGCCACGTGGAGGCTTAATAAAAAATATCCATTTGTTAGGATAAATACATTTTCTATCCTGAAAAACAGACTTCTGCATCACCTCCAGTTAAGCACCAACCTAAAATAAGGTTTATATTATATAATTAAATCCTGAAAAATAGATTTTTTTTTTTCAAGAGGGGGAAAATCCGACTCACAGAAGGAAAATAACTTGCAGGCATCCCATGGGCCTCACAGACTCTGCAAGCTCCTAACCAGCGGCTCATTCTGTACTGAGTGGGAGAGCTTCCTTTGTGGTGAAAACAGCTCTTCCAGACCCCTCCCAGGCATCTGGCTTTCACTGAGGAGACTTGGGAGGAGTGTTCTGTTCCCTGTTCAGACGCTTCCCGGCAGCAGGAGGCGAGGGTCGGCGCCCAGGCTGCCTCCTTTGATCTTTGGGGACCCCAGGAGTGGACTTGAGGGCAGGAGGCTCTCTGTATCTCTCCACAGGTTCAGCAAGCTTCTTCTCTTCCTTCCCACAGACAACAGTGTTTGGCTTTTGTTCTTTTGGGGGTTGCAACGGGGAGGAAGGAGGCTCTCTACTTGTTCTCTGACAAATCTCTGCATAACTGGGTTTTCGTAATTCCTGGAAACACAAAATGTAAGGTTATGGGTACAAAATGACAGGAATGGCAGTTCATTAAGGGATGAAGTTTCATAAGATAAAGTTTTAATTGTATGCAAAATCCCATCTTCAATGATATTTTTACTTTTAAAACATTCACAATAACCAGTAGCAACTTCTGGCATGTCCATGGCAGCTAAAGTGACCACCATCAAAGCTACAGCCACAAGTGCTGTGGACAAGTGTATAGGATCAAGAATGATCACTATGATAAAGCAACATGCAGTAGTTTGAATATAACTGGCCGCCATAGAGTCAGTGAGTGTCACTATTATGAGGTGTGGCCTTGTTGGAGGAAATGTGTTACTGTGAGGACTGGCTCTGAGGTCTATGCTCAAGCTTCACCTGGATCAGTTCACTTCCTGTTACCTCTCAGCTCCTTCTCCAGCAGTGAGTCTGCCTGCACACTGCCACATCCCACCATGATGAATTAAATGTTTTCCTTTATAAGAGTTGCCGTGGTCATGGTGCCTCTTCACAGCTATAAAAACCCTAAGATACAAACTGTTGGTACATTTCTAGGAATTGATGATTGTCAGTATGGTGCTAGACTTTGAAATTACATCAGAAGGAAGAAGGATTACTAAATAGGAATAATATAACAATGCTGGTTCCTGGAGGAGGAGCCTGAAGCATTAATAGATTTCCTTGACTTTGGATTCTGGCTTTTTGTTTGTTTAGAGTTTCTGTTAAAAGAAAATACACACCCATTTTTCTAGGCTAATCATGTTCTTTGGAAAAAGTGTGTGTGTGTGTGTGTGTGTGTGTGTGTGTGTGTGTGTGTGTGTGTGTATGTGTTTTAAATTATAAAAACATGGATGTAGCCAGGTGAAGGTGGCCCACACTTTTAATCCCAGAACTCAGGAGGCAGAGACAGACACCAGCCTGGTCTACAAGAGCTAGTTCCAGGACAGGCTCCAAAGCTACACAAAGAAACCCTGTCTTGGGGGAAAAATGTTTTTGCCTAAAACTAAACCACTCCCTTTTCTTGCAGCACACCCCCCCCCCCAGATACCCTTCTAAAATGGCTAACAGCCATAAAGGCATAGTGATAAAATAGTGGCCAAACTCTGCCCAGCATGAAGCCTTTAAGCATTCTTGAGAAATATGAAAGCCTAAGAGGCTCAAAGGGAAAAAAGGCACAAACCCTGCTTCCCTTGACCCAAGAAAGGACATCTACAACTGCTCTGCCTACACAGGGAATGAGCTGTGATGGTGTTGACACAGTCGTCCTGTGGGTATTCATTCATGCGTTTATTTATTTACTTAGACAGTATCCTTCGTAGTGCAGGCTAGCCTCAGTAGGTGAGATGGGTTTCAACTCCTGATCCTCCTGTTTCCACTTCCTGTGTCTGAGATGGCAGTCTTTGTTTTTTTTTAAAGATTTATTTATTACATATAGTATTCTGCCTGCATGTATGCCTGCAGACCAGAAGAGGGCACCAGATCTTAAAATAGATGGTTGTGAAACACCATGTAATTGCTGCAAATTGAACTCAGGACTTCTGGAAGAGCAGCAGTCAGTGTTCTTGATCTCTGAGCCATCTCTCCAGCCCCAAAATGGACTCTTACTGTGTAGTATTAACTGGTCTGACACATGGAACTTGTGGAAATTCCATTTTCTTGCCTCTGCCTCCTGAGTCTTAGGATTACAGGTGCTTGCCACCATATCTAATGCAATTTTAACTTACACCAAGCTGAGGAAGATGAAAATCCATCTAAGAGACGTTAGATCATCAAGGACAAAAACTACTAGACCTGAGGACTTGCTGACTCACTATGTATCCCTGCCTGACTGCAACTTGCCATGTAAACCAGGGGGCCTCACACTTGCAGTCATTGTCCTGCTCTGACTCCTGAGCCACCACACCTGGGATTTAAACAGGGCAAAAGAACACAATGTTGTTCTCTTTAGTCATTCTGCTTAATTCTTTTTCATATATATGATATACACAGTAAATGGTGAAATGATCAAACTCCATACAGGACAGAGTTGGGAACCTTGCTATTATATGAGTATACTACGGAGAAATGAAGGCACACACAAATGAAAACCAATCAAATTAGGATGACTAAAAGTAAGCTGAGGCAGGACTTATATACAGAATCCCTGGGTGCTGTGGAAGGCAGACAAAGTACTTACCGTCGCTGCTCCGTTCACCTGCACTGATTTACATGCAGTTGTGGTAGGGGTAGAAGGAAGTCTGTCCACATTGTGGGTTTCCCTCTGCTTTTCTGCCACCTTGGGATCCCTGTGAAAATGCCATCTGGTTTAAGAATCATATGTAACAATATAGGTCATTCCCATGTACACATGGCAGAGGGCTGGTAGAACACTGATACTTACTCTGGTAAATGGACTGGGGAAGGGGAACGTTCAAATGCTGTTGACACAGCACAGGGCGCTGGCACAGAAGGCTCTCTGGGAACCACTACAGGAGCAGTGTTTGTGCTTGCGTCTGCACTGAGGTTCTGAAAATCATTAAAGTAGTAATTTAAGAGTTGTAGGATATTTGCCCAAGAAGTTAAGGGTCTAATCATTTAAACCACGGCAATCTCTAACCCTGCTTCCCAATCCCCTGACTGACTGATGCTGAATGGTGCATCCATTCTCCAAGCCAACAGAACCAGTGGGATCCTACCTACAAACACCAAGTCCTAGCACAAAGACAGGAAAAGAAGCCTCCAACAAACTTAACCATTTCACTTTGAGTTTGTTATCTGCTGCATAGCACTCAGCCTTCTTGCTCTCAGCAAATGCACTGTAAGCTTGTCTTCTTAAGTGAACAACTACTACACACACCTTACTTACATGTCAGGGTTCCCTATAGCAGGGACAGAATTACCAAGACAGTACATACACTATGATTCACTCTTCTCACTGACAACAAAACAAAGACTGACATATCCACATCTACATAAATTTGTGGGCCTGGTGGTAGGTGGAAGATACCCACAGGAAATTTCCCCTGAACCCACAGACCACCCGGGGAAACAGATGTACAAACCTGCTTTACCCAATTTAACAGGCAGGGTCACTAAGCTAAGACCTAAGTGAATGAGAAATTACTCCATCAACAACTTGCTCAGGGCAGTTTACTCATGGTATGTAATTAACCCAGTATGTGATTTTAGGGCAAGTAAATAATTGGTTATAAGTTTAAATATAAAAAGAGGAAATTTTGTTTTGCAAAGCAAGTAAAAGTTCAAAGGTAAAATAAAGCAGCTGGAAGTGCAGCTTCAGGAGAATGGCACAATTTATACTCTTGTCTGGGGGTTGGGTGAGGATTAGCCAGAGACTCAGGTTCTGCTGGTTTGAGAACCAGTTCTTAGACTGCTCAAGTGAAATGAACCTAGCTTGCTCAAACACAGGGTAACACAAATTCCAAATTCCTATTTGTAGAAGCATGTTCAGATTCAACATATGTTGAACTCAAGACTCTGTTTAAATAAACACAGACACATAGGCACTTTGCAAAAAGTCACAAATCCAATGTCAAGCAAGGAGGGGTTATGTGGCCTAATGCCCAAGTCTTCTGTAGTTCTTGCAGATGTGTCATCCCTGGCAGCAGTGCAGACTGTAACTTGGCCACAGAACCAAGCCCAGCCTTACGGAAAGCAGTAATTCTTTCTTCAAGAAAGGCTTTGCACGGAAACTCAAGGGCATTAAAGCAGCAATTGTCTGTGAAGCTGGAGGGCCTGCCAGTAGCCTACACCTATCACTGAAGGGACACCATAACTTGAAAACAAAACTTCATAACATTGAAATGCATAATTCTCTACTGTTATAAAGCAGCTGGAAATTATTAATGTGGACATTAAGACATAATTTCTAAGACATCCCAATTCTAACATGTGACTCTTACTAGATAATACAGAATCTTGGAAAGCATAGTTTCCATTGCTTAAAACAGTAGCAATTACCACATTTCAACATAAAAAGGACTAAAATTTTATCTTGATCTTAGTCTTCAAATACTATATGTAGCAAAGCCATCCATCCTAACTATTGCAGCCAATACTGTGGCTCTAAACCTGGCTGTGGAGTGGTGACCCATTCCCCAAAACAGATGTTACGATCTGATGTACAGCCATAGTTGACATCTGCAGAAAAGGAACGCCTAGAACCAGGACTATTCTATAAGCCCACCCCCACCCTAGCACTTAGCCATACTTTATTTAGTAGCTGGGCAGAAAGTCATTTCTTTACATGCCCCATCGCCTTTAAACACTGGTGCTGGCAGGGGACAACCCCACTTCTAATCTGTTAGCTAACTGTATTGCAGGAGCCCTGGAAAGAGTTTCTTTGGACTTGAGTAGCACAGCTGAGATTAGCAGAGATGACTACTGCAGGGAAAAAGACCTGTGGCAGCCTAGAGTTTGCCTGAAATCCCCAGCCTACAGCAAAGTGATTCTAAGCTTCTTGCTACTACTTACACTATGTAGCTTTAAACATCAACAACAAAAATTAATCTAAGCACCAGTACAGCACAGGTTCCACAGCAACCTAAGCAGACGGTAAGAGAAAGGCAGCTTGACCCTGGTTCCAACACCCAGTGACCAATGGCAAACACCCAAATCTCAGACCTCTCTCAGTTATTTTTCTCCTGCACAAAATCAGTGCTTAGAAAACATCAGAAGACATTACAGCTGTAACACATAGCTTACTCTTTCTTTTGAAGATCCTATGATCAAGCTAGAAAGCCTGTTTTCAAATAAGTCTTCTGCCTTCAAGTTGCCTGCAGCTCCAGGTAATGGGGGGAAGTTGGACAGCCCCAGTTCGAAGCTCGGTGATGGAGGTTTTGGTGGTGTTGGAGACTGAGTCTGACTGTTCTGCAACACAATGACACCCCGGAAGGTCACACAAGTGTGGAGAGACAAGAGTAAGACAAAAGCAAGACAAAGAATCTTCCAGCTCTCACATCTGTCTGGAAAAAGTCTATAAATGTTGCATGACTAATTTCTAGGGTTCATCTAACTTGAAATTTAGGCCTATAGGATAAAATGTGAGCAGAGTCCTGGAGGAAAAAAGTCAGAGCTCAAATTCCAGCAGTGGCCCAGTAAGAGGATTCAGTGGATAAAAGATGCCTGCTGCCAGGTGTGAGGACCTAAATTTAATCCCCTGGGACCACATGGTAGAAGAAAAAATACCACTCTCTCAAGGTGTCCTCTGACCTTCATATATGTGCCATGAATGTGCATTCACACCCTCCCCTCCTGCCTTTGACTCTCTCACATACATGTATGTTAAATTCAAATGTAAGCAGGTTAAAGGATTTATTTTATCTAGGTGACAAATTCAGGCTATACTGGAATTTTTTTTTTAAGTTGGAGACACACACATGCACACACGCACGCACACCATTTTTTGTACTCACTGTAAACTTCTCTTCTCTTTTCTTCCGATAGCCAAAGGAATTTTTCCTAGGAGTAGAAAGCAAAAAAGACTGGGAAAAATTGCCAAGCTTATGTTTGCCCACATAGTCAAAGCAGTATGCATCAGTCAGTCTTTAATATTCTTTCACGAATAAACTGATTGTAAAAGCCAACTTTAAAAGGACATGCCTGCAGTTCTAGTATAGGGGTAGCTGAGGCAGAACAATGATGAGCTTATGAGCAGCCTGCAACAGATCATTAACGAGGCCATCTTATTGTCTTAAGCAAAAGTATAAACAACAAAGTCCAAATGTTGAGAATAAATCATTAAGTTATATATCCAGACAAATAATAGAAAAATAATTATTGTAACAACTTATCTACTAGCTACTTAGAATTTTTAAGATTAGAATGTTTAAATGTCCCTTCAGGAGGAAGGATAAGATATGTATACAAAATCTGACATCACTATATAGGTGAGCAATTTAAAGCATGAGCAAAAAACTATGATTACCCCTTATTGCAAAAACCACACAAGAACTTTTAAACCCTGAGAGTTCCCTAAAACCCAGGCTTGCCCTCCTTATCAACAGCAGCCAGAACCCGGGCAGCAAGGCTGGGAATCTGCCCTGTAGCACTACAGTGAGCCACAGAATCAGTATTTACAGCATCCTGGGTCAGGTTATGTGGTCTAACAAGCCACACATGAATCTCAACTTGCAATTTCATTTTTATTTGTTTACCCCTTCTATCATTTCAAGTGAACAGACTCCCCAAAGGCTATGCATCATATAAACTTAAAAGGGATTTGAATATTATTAGCTGTCCCTGGATAGCCTCTAGGCTACAAACTTTCTTGGTTCTGTAGTGGGGTCAGGCTGTCTCTAGTAGAAAACAGACTCTTATGAAGGAAATAGAGCCTGGCTTTCTGCTGAGCTAGCAGAGTAGGGGCTAAACCCCTGAGCACAGATGAAGTAGTATACCACAAAAGTGAACATGAGAACAGCAACCTTCAACTTGATGGAACAGCTCTCTCAGTCTCATAATGACTAGGCCTCTGGGCATGTGGATGAGAGAGGTGACAAGTTCTGGTATGGCATGGGACTTTGAGCATTTGTATTACAGTTACTGCCTTAAGATGCCAGGTAGGCTCCACAGTGGGCTGGCTTCACTATAGGTGCCTGTGCACCAATACCATCTGTGACAACAACAGAGTCTCCCAGTCAGCGTAGCCCACAGAATTCACAACTGTCCTTAGAGCCCTCAACTGCCTACTAGAAACCTACAGGCACAGCAATCCTAAGTAGTGACATGCCATGCTGGAACATACTATCAGTGCCCATCCCTTGGAAAGTAACTGCAGAATGAAGACACAGCCAAAGGACTGTTGTTTACAGTGTATGATTTATTATATCAGAGGTACAGGCAAAGGCATGATCCAAGCACCATGTAGTCTACACTTGGGATAAATACTAGGAGCTCACTAGATGCTTCTGCTCTGTGACCTAAGATAGGTTCCACTGACATAAAGTTAAGATCACCACCTGGCATTTGGGGTTTTTCACTATACTAACCTTAGCACACAAATGTACGACTGAAGCCTTGAAGATTCTATAGCAACCTTTTAGTGCTTCAGACAAGCAGAAAGTTAATGGGGAAACAAACAAACCCTCAAGGAAAAGCAGTGGAAGAGGAAATGTGACCTTTGTGGAAGATCAGGTCCTTCAGGAGGAATCAGATCACACCTCCTGCTTCTCTATAGCTGCTCTGGACACAGGGCAAACTCTCCAAAGAGAAGAAGCTACACCTAATGCTGGTTTCATCAGTCCATGGCTCAGAAACAAGCTCTACATTCATGGCTTGACATGCGCACACTCCTGTGTGTTGCAAGTTCTTACTTAAGTCACAGATTGTGTGGAACCAATCTCCTCTGTTGAGAAGGCAGTGAGAGTCTCTATTAGGACACAGCCTAGTCTCTCTGGTAAGAGCATAAATCTGTGCCAGTGAATTATTGGAAGCTCAAATACTGCTGGGAGACAGGCAGTGACTATTCCAAAGAGGTAGAGCACACTGGTTATCAAAACAGACCCACCTTTTATTTCACTTTTTAAGGTGGCTGGGATTCTGCAAACACTGCTTTTGCGATGACAGAAGGCTTTGTTAAGCTTTTATTAACAAGGGCTGAAAGGACACAGGAATTTACTCTTCAGCATACACTCTGTTTACATTGGACCTGTTGAGCCCAGGTTTGTGGTCCAGGCTCCCTTCATTTAGGATTCTAGTCTTTAGGAACTCCAAACATGACTCTTGGGTTTATAGTTGACCCTTGATGTCGCTAACTCTGTTATTCAATGCTCCCCCTTTGAGTTCTCAGTCTCTAATAACTGATTCGTTAAAATATCTGGTATAAGCTTTACAAAGCCAGGGTGCCTGTCTCACAACCTACCACAGCTCCACAGATGCCGATGTCATCAATGAAAACCAGAATTGCAGCTTCCAAATTCTTCAAATTAAACTCTGTAACTGCACTAAAAGCAAAGAGATACTCTCCCTCCTCTTCCACATTGTCCGTCATGGCTACTAGCTTTTATAAGTGGCAGCCCCAACCAAGCAAACATTTCTACAATACTGAAACAAGTTATACAGTGGTTTACAAGTGAAAAGAAGAGTCATGTTTTTCTCTTTAAAATCTAGAAATGATTAAGCTGGGTGGAGAAGACACCATCAGCCAGTGAATACAAGAATGACAAGAGAGTCAGGTGACCTTCCTGCTGGTAGAGAGGACATTCCAGTGACCTACACAGAAGACCAAACCAGCACCCTATTCCCAGAGACTGAGTCCAATGGATGGCAGTTTCCCTCTTTCCTGTTGGGGTTAAGAGAGGCAAGGAAGCTATAGATGCTTCTAAGAGTTGGCACATGACACGCAGGAATGACGTACCTTCGTTACACCAAAGCACAGGGGAAGTAGCAACCACTGAGGCAGAGACTACAGTGAGGTAAACAGAAAACCCAGCTACCATCACTCAGAGTGATTTACCTAAGTCAAACAGTTTCCCATCGAAGAAAGCAACAGGGAGTGAGAGGTCTGGTAAAATAAACAGCAGCATATGCCTTGTAAAACAAAGAAAAAAAGACACTAGTGTCTTATTCTTGGGCATTGTACACGCATCCCAACCTTTAGCCCCCAAAGTCACTCAGCACACAGAAACAAAAACCTGTGTGGTTCACTTTGCCATGACACCTGCTTCACGACTTGCCATAGGCTGAGGTTCTTGCTCAGCATTTGTTTGAGGAAAATCCTGGCAGGCATCTTCATCACATAGCAACTGGCCTAGTTAACACTGGGTAGGGCACAAGACCATCCTGGGTGTTTTCTAATCTCACCACTTTAGAGGAAGTATAAATGGCAGAAGACAAGACAGCAAGCATGAAAGAGGAAACTGCATTAGAGGTCCCAGGGAGAAGGAAACAGAACTACAGTAGTTTATATTCATAATGTATAGAAAGAACCCTAGGCAATGACAAGAAACACCAAGTCTCTAAGAACTACTTGTCCAAGGATGGAGATAAAGTGACCAAAGGCATTACTTCACAACAGCAGATTTTGTTTATAAATAAGTTTAGTAGAAGTAGAATTTAAATGCTGATTGTCTGACTACCAAACTCCTGTATCTGCCAACTATATACTGTTGCCAGCTCAAACCTACTTTATTTTACTTTTGTGGCACACTAGGCATTAGACCAGGACTTTGCTTATCCCAGGCATGAACTACACAGCTGGGCTACATGCTCCAGCTCTCCTCATTAGTAGCTGTAAAGAGAGCAAGGCTAGGAACCTATGGGATACACCCTGGAGGGCCAGGGCTAACTGTCAAGGTGAACCTGCAGGCAGGACGAGCACAGGTTAGACACTGTACAGTTCCTACATGCCAGCTGTCCTGCTATTAAAGAAAATGCCATGCTTTTAAGAAAAGCAAAAACAAACACACTGAAGTCTCTGCTATAAAACTGACTATCCTGAAGAATTAAGGGAAATCTTTGATGTTTACAGTTTCTACTTGATTTTCCTCAAGTATATTAGGATATGATTATAAACATCTAAATTAAAATGTAAAATGTTAGTAGTTCACGATAGGTACATAATATGTGCTTGACAAAATATGGAAGTGACTTACCTTCCTCTCCCTAAACCAGGAGAGGATTCAAGACTACTTGGCTCCACACGGCCAGTTCCAATCTCTCTCTTGGCATAAGTTGATGGGTTTTGTATTCGTGTTCTAGTTTGCCCTGTTTGCCTCGTTTGTGGGCTCCGGACACCATTAATTAATCGATCTGCAGTGAAGTTAAATATTGAAGGACTCTCTAGCAATCCAGGCCCTCTTTCTGTACTAGGAATCGCATGGCGTAGATGAGACTTACTAGGGTTCCTGCAAATGAGATGTTTGTATATGCTGAGTTATAAAGCAATCAAAGAGTACAGAATGAACAGGCTAACGTAAAATAAGTATGTCAAGATCTGCTTCCTACTTAATAAACACAAGGTAAAAGTTGTTCCAAAAGCATTTCAGAAGTTTCATCTCTGATGAGCATGACTAGTGGTTACACAGATCTCTTATTACAGATAACCTGGAACAGTGCAAAATGAAGCTCCCAATCATTGGAAACACCGTTGAAACTTGCCTGCTTCTAGGAGGATATTGTCTGAGTGACGTCAGAGGAGACGCTGCAGGTTTGAAAGTCGGAGATGTAAACCCATTTATAAATCCAGTACTTGGAAATGGAGTTACCTGGATTCATTAACAAAAAACAAGCATGTAAAAACATGAGACACTTCAATTGGATTTACAGTTGTAACTTGGGTAAACCAGATCATGTCAAAGGTGTGAATTCCATGTTATGCTTAAAAAAACAACTCCAGGGTAGGGAAAAACTTCCAAGATTACTAATGGTAATATCTACTAAGCACTCAAGCCATGGCTAGTGCTAAGAACTTTCTCCATAGCATCTTAGCTACCCCTTCTAACAACCAAACAGGACAGAACTTTGCCCCAAATCACATGGGTGCCCTGAATATAAGCATTGCCTGATGATGCACAAACTAAGTTACTACTACCAGCACAACTCTCCAGTCTGGAGACAAATGGATGCCTTAACAAAATTCAAAGTATCCAGTTTTAGGAATTCTCACATACTTATTGCTCCCAACTATGATTATGTCACCCCATAGCTTTTGGCAGAGATTTCTTTTCTCCCCTCGGTTTACTTTCATGCAGGACTTTCTGTAAACAGCATCCTATTTTTAAACTATGAATTTTTTCCAAGTAATTTAAAGTGATACAGAACATATAAATATAATAATATAAAGTTCAGAAGAAAATTAGAACAGGCCACAATGACCTTAAGAGATGAGCTAAATATACTTTTTAAAAAGTTTAAAAGCTTAAGTGTAGGATTTTAAATGCCACACAATGGTTTTTAAAATCTTGATACATATAAAAATAAGGTAAAACTCAGTGTGGAGGGCTTGGTGGCCCCAGTGCATAGGTCTCACCACTTCAGTTCAACTTTTGGATGCCAAAGGGATCTTTCCTGAGAGTTGTCCTCTGACCTGTCCTGGCATGCATGCACGGGCGCGTACATATATATGTATGTATATGTGTACACACACACACACACACACACACACACACACACAAGAATTAAGTGTATCTAGGTGTGGTATTGAATGTTTTTAATCCCAGCACTTGGGAGCCAGAGGCAGATAGATCTCTGAGTTCAAGGTCAACCTGCTCTACAAGTCAAAACAATTCTTAAAAAAAAAAAGATGGCTTGGGATAACCACCTTGGGTACTTGTTGCTCAAGTCTAATGAACCAGAAGGAGTTCAATCCCTAGAGCCCATGGAAAGGTAGGAGAGAACCAACTCTACACTCTGGCTGTTGCACATTGCCACAAAATAATAATAATTACAAAATGGAAGGAAGGGATCACTAACTTTTTGGCCTCTGGGGCACATGGCTTCAGATATTCTCCAAGTAAATGACTTTACTTCTAAGGCACTTAGTTGCCTGGGACCTACCAGTCCCTACCTTGAATTTTCACTAGCCTGAAGGAAGTAAGTACAGGTTCTTGCCTCACCCTCCCTGAGGAGCAGAAAAGGGAGGGGATGGGATGGAGGACAGGAGGGTGCAGGAATTGGGATTGACAAGTAAAACAAGCTTGTTTCAAATTTAAATTTTAAAAAATTACAAAAAAAAAAAAAAAAAAAAAAAAAGAAAGAAAAGAAAAGTACAGGTTCCTACACAGTTGAAAAAAACTGTCAGGGGAAAAGGGAGGGATAACCAAGCAGTTCTCTTCAGCACTATCTGGAAAGCAGAAGCTCTAATTTAAAATGGTATTAGAGCTAGCATATCATTCCCTGACTATAAAATTAAAGTGACAAAAGGAAAACATTTAACAGCAGTCAAAGAAGATCCATTCCTTGATAAACTCTACAGTCCATACAAATTACAGTGCTTAAAAATGTTTCCCAGTTAAACAAAAGACAAGGGATTAACATCTCAAATATCTGAAGAAATCTAAAATTAAACACCAAATCATCCAGCTAATAAGTGGTCTAATAATGAACTGAACACTCAGTTCTGAAAAGAGACACAGATGGCCAGTAAATACTTGAAAAACACCCAGCAGCCTCAGCTACCAGGGAAATGCAAATCCGAGATTCTTTCCTACCCTGGTCAGAAGGGCTACCACCAAGATATGCATGGAGACAAATGCTGGTGAGGACAGCAGGAAAGAGGAGCTCTAATTAACAACTAAGGGGACACAGATGGAAATTAGTCCAGAGGTCTCTCAAAAAACTTAAAATAGAAGTACCACATGACCCAGCTGTATCACTCTTGGATATTACATATCCTTGCTTATTGTTGCTCTATTCATAATAGCCAGGAAATGGAACTATCCTATTAAGTGAAACAAGCCAAACTTAGAAAGATAAAAACTGTGTTTTCTTTAATATTGGAAACTTAGATTTGGGGGTGAGGTATTAGGTGGGTGTAGAGAAACGGACCATGAAACTAGAAGGGAGCTCATGAGAGGAGAAAGGACTTTTAAGAGGGGAAAGGAAACATACTATGCCAAAACAAAGCAGGTGGTACAATCTGAGGGAGGGAAGGAAGGAAACCAGCCAAAGGAGAAAATGTGGTAGTAGGGGATGGTTGATAAGAGGGATTAATGAGATCACTGTATAATACATATGCACCAAATCCCATTACACTTGATGGTTAACTTAAAAATTAAGGAGAAAAAAAAAAAAAAAAAAAAATACAACACACTAGAAAAGCCACTTAATTCAGACCAAAGCTTTGGAGACTTTAAATCTAGTAAAATCAGCCAGGTGGTAGTTGCCCACACCTTTACTCCTAGCAGAGGCAGGTGGATCAGCCTGGTCTACAGAATGAGTGCCAAGACAGCTAAGCTAAGACTACACAGAGAAACCCTGTCTCGAAAAACAAAACAAAACTGGCAAGACCAAAAGATTAGTTTAAATTCGTAAATTTACATAATACATATCACAGAAAAGGGCTTGGATGGGAGGACCTGAATGTAAAACAACAGGTCGTGGCTGACCTAGGATCCCAAGAGAGGCATTTAGATGAGGAGTATGACAGGTTGACAGACTAACCTAACTCACTGCAGTTTCATGTGGGGAAGAGCATGAATAACAGCAAGAAGTTAATGGACAGAGTTCCTCTCCATATTTCTTCTGATGTATCTGGGAAAGGGAACACCACAGCCAAGGGCCCATGTTCATAGAAAATATACTATTTTTAGAGGCATATTTCTTTCCCATTAGAATCCACTCAAACGTAACAGGTATGTCTTTCCTTTCTTCTATCAGCCAGTATACCTGTGCCACATAAAGGGCTTCTCTGTGCACTCTCTCTCATCCATGTACACAATGTACTCCATCATATCCAGCTTGCCTTCCTCCACCTCTTCCCCTTCCTTCCCACGCTGCTTTCTCCCTTCAAACTAGAATTTCTTCTACTTTCAAGTCTTTTAAGAAAAAAGACCCTTATATCCCACAAGTATGAGAGAAAACACATGACATTGTCTGAGTCTAGCATTATTTTGCTTAATATGATGATCCATCCAATTTCTTGCAAATAATGTGATTTTGTTCTTTATGTCTGAATATAATTACATTGTGTGTTCGTGTGTGTGTGTGTGTGTGTGTTACCTACTCACTCACTGATAGACACTTTGAGTGATTCCCAAACCCAGCCACAGTATATAGAGCCACAATGTAGATAAATTAACAGATATCTCTTGTCTGTAGATTTTTATTCCATTGGATGTATGCCAATCAGTGATATTTCTAGGACAGTTCTTCTTCTTTTTTTTTTTTTTTTGCAGAATTTACATACTGATTTCCATAGTGGCTAAACTAATTTACATTTCCAGCAACCAACCATATACAAGAAATCCTTTTTGCCGGCACCCTCACCAGTATGTCAGCATGCCGGTCTATCTCCTTCATTCACGATAGATGGAATCTCAATGCAGTTTTTAATTACATTTATTTCATGGCTAAGACAGTTGAACAATTTTCCATTTATATGTAAATAAATAAATCATGTGTTGTATTTTTTCTTAAATTATTTGCTACTGTGAGAGATATCTATACTTGGGAATACATGTGTCATAACACACAAATTAAGGTCATAAGAGATCTTTTTCATAAAGTCAGTTATCTCTTATCCTAAATGACACGCACCCATTGTGAGCTTTAAACTTGTGCTACTCACTTGGCTTGTCCAAGTGCTAAGACATGTCACCAGCCCATTGGCTCTGCTTTTAGAGCTGTCTGTCTGACTGACTTGCCATTTAACTTATTTGTTCTTCTGGTGTTTGTTGAACTTCATGTATTTGGGCATTAAGCCTTAGTTGGATGAATATGGTAAAGGTTTTCTCCCAGTACAAGCTATCAGGGTAATTGCCTCTTTAGTGAGCAGAAGCTTTAAATGTAACAGAATCTTGTTTGTCAAATCCTGCTGTTGTGTCCTAAGTCAGTAGAGTCCTACTTAGACAGTCTTTACCTATGCCTCCATGTATTTGTCTCTGGCCATTTCAAATTTTTGGAGATAGACATAATTTTTAATTTTAGATAATGATATTTTACTGCAGTGGTTCTAGAATGGGGAGGAGTATTATGAGCCTCACTCATAATACTCAGAGTTAGAATTCCTTTCTAACTCTGCCTATCCTGCACATGGCTAGACAGCTATCTTTAAAAAATGGAGTATACTCTTTCTTAACTCAAACGTTCTAGATTATTTCATACAAGATCCAGGCCAAAATCCATGGTCTAGGGACTCTCATAAGGGCAAGTTACCACCTCTGTCCCCAGCCATCTGCTCTACTCAGAAAGTAAAGTTGATCTGTGGCAACCTTGGGGATTTTGCACACGCAATCTATACTCAGAGCTTCCTTTCTCTTTGATTCTTCTCATAAGTTCCCATGAAACATAAAAACCTAATTAAGAGACAACACAGAGGCACATCAATCCTTGCTGTAAGTTAAATGCTACTTTCTATTTGTATCTATTTTTAGAGTAACAGCTCCTGATCATACTCATTTTTTCACAGATATTATCTTCATAGTTCAGTATCTAACAGGACACACATTTTCTGAACCACTGTCTCAGGTTCCCTCTTTCCTATACCCCCCAGTGAGCACTATTGTGTGTACATGACAGGTGGCTGGCACCAGACACCTGATCCTGAGCACCCACCCTTCTACTTGTTCTCTGATCTGGTCCACAGCCACATCCTGGACATGAACTCTTCCAAAGTTAATACCTTCATTTTCTGCATCCTACTCTTCTATTTTTTATTATATCAAAATCTAATATACAAACCTATAGACATGAATTTACCCTCCCTTTGTAACCTGGACACCACTTTCAAGGAACTTATACAAGGTTGATTTTCTTTTGACCTACTTCACTAAATCATTGATTCCAAACCAGAACCTAAGTTTCCTAGCATCTGTAGAGGGGAACACAGCCAAAAATTAATCATGTTACCTAACCCTAAGGTGGGTGTGAGAACGAAAACAGTTCTGTGAGACACACAGCATGCATCCTACTTTCTTCGACTATTAGGAATATATTGAAATAACTCTTCCTCCATGACAGAACTCCATGTCATGGTCATGTCCCTTTGTTTAGTAACTGGTAGAACCTTTATATCACTGTGTCTTAGAGAAAGGAAATGCCAGGAAGGAGGAAGGCAAGGATCACTATATTGAAATTTTGCATTACATAGGACTTTATTGCCTAATTAAATTTAAAATTTACACCATAATCCAAGGTCTGGGTACTAAGCAAACTGTTAGGTTCTTATTAGAACAGGATTTTAAACTTTCAAAAGTTTAGTACAATATCTAAAATGTGAATCTATGTTACTTAAATTTTAAAAAATGAAAGAAAAATGCTTACCAAGGGTGGATCGAGATAACTATGTGTTGTTGACCATGTCTGGGGGGTGATCAGGCCATACAGAGGGAACTGCTGCTGGGGACTGTACACTGGAGGTAAGTAAAACGATGTGGCGTAACGCTGCTGGGTGTAAAGGTTCATGTCCAGAGGTCTAAATCCATTCTTTGGCAAAAATGTGTTTATCGCTATTGCCTTTGCTTTTATCCGTGCCTATTTAGAGACATTTAAGTTCCAATTAGAACATTTAAGAATGCTGATCAGATAATAAAGAAGTTATAAGCAATGGTCTTCTTGCTTACCTTAATTGGCTTTCCTTGAAAAGTCCTTACTTCTTCTCGAAGGTATTTGTAAGCCTAGGGATAAAAATCATCCAAAATACTAATTAGATAACTTTGCAAGTTAACTCTACAGCTCAAATAATCATGTATGGTTGACTATAGCTGACAGGATTCAAAGGAATGATTCCCGACCCTCTTTCAGACACAGATCCTTAAATTTGTGTGTGGTACCCACACCTCAAATTATTGCAAAATATTGCCATTATTACTATGTAGCCCCATGTTCATCTACACATTTAATCTTTATCAAGCCCCCCACTCCATTCAGAGGGTCCCTAGTTTCACTTATGCCATTTACCCAGCAAGCCATAAGTTCCCACAGCATGGTGCCTCTCCCTTCGGGCTTTTCAGGTTTGTGTTTTCTTTTAACCCTCTGATCAAACTACTCAACATTTCATACTTGTTGGTATGTTTCCCCTAAATCAGACACCTCTCTAAGATCACAAAACTTCTCAATACCTTTGAAAGAACCTTGCTACACAATGCACAATGGATGATCCTCACAGGGCGGGGGTGGATTCAAATTTTTCCACTTTGCAAACAAAATTTGTTTCTTTTCAGATATGAGAAAAGATCTGATTTCCTGAGTCTGCTTACTCACAATACACTTAAGTAGCAATGTTACATGCTTTCAATAGTGCTACAAAAAAAAAAAAAAAAAAAAAAAAAAAAAAAAATACACTCATTGGTCCCTAGAAGTCAGTTTTCTCTGCACTTAACCCTTGACCTCAATGTCCTAATTCTGCTCTGCTCTGCTGGTAAACTATGTACTTCACAGGCTGGGTGGGAGAGGAATGTACTTACCTGCTGTGCATCCGCTTCTGTTTCAAAGGTAATAAACCAATTATCGTTATAGGCAAATTCACAGTTTATAAATTTTGGTAAATTATCTCCTTTAAATAGTGCTTCTACTTCCTACAGGAAACAAAGAAGTTAGAAGTTAGTCACCATTTATGCTACTTTTTGTCCTCATCAAATTACAAGGAAAAATTATCACATGCTATGATGCACATCTAACCCTCTTTCAGAAACACTGCAGGGTGTACCCACAGGGCCACATGTCAGAGAAAGAAATCACCAACAGCTTTCCCTACTCACAAGGAACTGAATTATGAACAGTAGGGGCTGGGGATGTAGCTGGCTTGGAAGCATGCTTTGCAATGCACACAGAAGGCCTGGGTTTGACCTTGAATACCACATCAAGTGAGCACTGTGGTACATGTCTAACTCTAGCACTAAGGTAGAAGCAGAACAGTTAAGTTCAGGGTCATCCTCAAAATTCAGGGCCAACTGGGGTACATGAATCCTTAATAGAAGAGGATAGAGAGGGGGAGGCAGAGTACAGGGAAGGGGAGAGAGGGAAGGGGGGAGGAAGAAAACTTATCAGCAGACTGATACACAATTTTCTTTTAAAAAATAGCTTTAAAAAGCTGGGTATTGATGGCACACGCCTTTAATCCCAGCACTTGGGAGGCAGAGGCAGGCGGATCTCTGTGAGTTAGTTACAGAGCTAGCTCCAGGACAGGCTCCAAAGCAATAGAGAAACCCTGTCTCAAAAAACAAAAACACAAGCAAACAGCATGAAAAACAAAAATATTAGCTGATCTAGATTTACAGTCCCATATAACACAAGTAAAAAGCAGAAAGATAAAACATGTGCTATAAGGCTTTTGGACACCTGCCATCAGCAGACTAGGAAAGAATGAGAATAGAATGGGCCAACAGTGCTCAGCCTAGGGTTTCCGGGTCATAGGATGGGCAAGTCTCCAGAGCTTTGTGGAAGGCTCTCTTTAGGCCACTTGCCAGAAACAAACCAACTACAATGATTAGGTAGAATAACCCTACAGCCAACTCACTGGGCAGCCAGAATAGCAAAAGAGAATAGTAAACAAGAGCAAGTAAGAGAGCAAGTAAACAAGAGTATGCCTATATGAAGGCTGTTCTGAGCCACTTCACAAATGTGCAGAAACCAAACTGGCAACAAGTAATTAATTTCTTACCTGTGTTTTAGAGCTGGGCACCTTGCTAATTGGCTCAGAATAGCCTTGAACTCCTGGGCTTAAATAAACCTTCCTGCCTTAGTCTCAAGTAGCTGGGACTATGTGTACACAGCACCAAGGATCTAACTGCATCTCAAAATATTTATTCTATAGAATTTGAAACTATTCAGTACCTAGTGGAGCAATGATCACATATATAGATAAATATAAAAGGGTGGGCTATATGAGAAATAATCAGATTAACTTTAAAATAAGACAAATGACACTGTCAGCAGACAAAGATACCAGAATAGTTACTCAATGCCCATTTCAAATGCCCAGAAAGAGGAAGCTTGAGAATGATAGACACAGAATGATAAACGTCAAAGCTCTGCCATAGAAAGCCTATAACCAAAATGCTTTAAACCAATAATACAATAACCTAAAAGTCAGAGAAAGACATGTTATATAGAAAGGAACAAAGGACAAAACTGGCCAACTATCCTTCCAAGAAGAAACAATGTGTTTAAAATACAGGAAGAGAAAAGCTCCATCAATACAGAAACTAAAGCCAAAAAAAAAAAAAAAAAAAAACCTTTAATGAGCTCAATATCAGGATTCTCCCAAACACACTAAAATGGAAAAGGTGTTTTTCAGTACAAATGTGTATACCAAAAGTATGTATCATAAGCTATCTCACAGGAATCAGGCAAAAGGACAAACAGAACCTGACAGAAAGACTAGAGACAGGTTTGTCCAACTTTTACATGTTGCAACAAGGTGACTTCAACAAAGTTCACAAAACAAACATACATAGAAACTCATCCTGGCTTAATTAAGTTTACAATTTTGTGTTAGATGGCATTTCTAGTTACCCTATGCTGCATGCAGCTGACAGGCTGCAGGCTGGACATGCCTGACAGCACTAAAAATGGTAAATATTAGGGCCTGCCCTATATTATGAGTTAAAGGGCAGCCTAAGGAGACAAAAAACAAAAAAAAAACCCCAAGCCCAAATAAACAAGAACAGAAGCAAACAAAACTGTAAAATGATAGAGCCACATCATACACCCTCCTCATCCAATTACTCTTTCTTAACCAATACATATCTAAACCCATTTCATTTTGTAATTTCTAACTACAGAAACATACAATATATTTGTAAATTTAAATACACAGAGAAATCCTGAGACCAAATGACATGACAGTCATTCTTCACACTGTAATTATTATTGTGCACATCTGGAAAAAGTTGTACTTTTTTCTCAAATAAGCCCTATCAATAACATATGAAATTCATATACAAATAGATGCTGTTATGCTAAAGAGTGAGGGGAGCCTTGGCAGATTCCATGGCAGACGAGGGTGATTGAAGGAGAGACACAAACACGCCAGCCAGCCAGAGCTTAAGTTAGAAAGGGGAGGGAAGGGGGAAGTAAGAGAAAAGACAGAACCACAGAGACAGAGGGAGGGAGACAGGAAAAGTGCTGTCTGCCCCCAGGGGAACAGCAGGAAAGAAGAGTGGGAGAGAGCAGAAGTGGTGGAGGACCTTCTTTTAAAGGGGTCCTTTGCACCTAGGCTGACCAGGGTACTGCCTGAGTGCATTTTGCCAGGTGACAAGGGCAGGCCAGCATAATGCCTGAATCCTTACAGGCGCCAGGAAAATGTCAAGTACCACAAGTAGAGGAAGGACTTACTTCCACAGGGGTAGATTCAGATATTTCACGCAGTATTACTATGCACCGGTTTTGATTTGGCCTTACTTTCTCTCCCTTCTCATCTACTTGGACCAAAGGTAAAGCTGTGAAGAAAAAAGAAAAAAACACACACACGTTATATGATGCTCCAACAGAATGTGAGCACTCATTACACACCAGAGAAACACTTTACACATGGCAAACTTATGACATGTTCAAAACCAACACAAGCTTCTAAACCAAATAAACCCATCTTGTACGTTCAATTTTCAAAATGAAGGAACATGTAAATCTAAAAGGTCCTGAAAAAGCTACCAAATATACACACAATGAGGTAGTAGCTGTAGAGCAAATAGATCAAACAGATACTAAAAGCACTCACTAGACATAGGGTTAATGGTTATCTCCTTCCTATAGTAAAACTTGACAGTTTTAGTGAGTGGCATTGGGGTATGATACCTAAGAATAGTCCAACAGACTTAGTGTAGTGAAGTATAGATACATAAAGCCAAATTGCTGGTCTTTTAAACTAGATCAGATGGAATCAAACTCATCTATACTCCCCCAGTCTGTATTTTAAATGGCAATACTGGAAAGTAAACTATTGCCTTAGGAAATACCTATAGTGCTTCAAGTTCCTACTGATAATTATGCTTGCCAGTTCTTTAACTTTTTGTATAAGGATAGACAAATGAAAATTTTTATTTGTGATTAGAAAATCCAGTTAAAAAGGTCAGCAACACGGCTCAATCAAGTAAAGTCACTTAAGGTGCTCAAGCTCATTGACTCAAGATCAATCTCCAAAACTCATGGAATAATAATTCCAAGTGTTGCTCTGACTTCCATGTGGCACTGTGGCGCACCCCCCCCACCACCAATAATATACTTTCTAAAAGGTCTTTTAAATCCAATTAAGTTGTAAAGGAAGATACCAAACTATTAATATCACTGTTAAGTCAGGTACATACAAGAAAAATTTCGAAATGACTGTCTCATCAATGCATAGGGACAAGACAACTAAGACATACATCCACAAAAAAAAAGGGGGGGGGCTGGTTGGTGAGAAATAAGACTTTCAAACACAGCACTGTCTGATCATCAGTATGGATGTGCTAATTAAACTATATGTGCCCTGTGTACCATGTTCTCTGTGAAGAAGACACTACAGTTGGAGCACACATACACCAGTCCCAAGGAAGGGAATAGGAAAAATCACTCACCTGAAATTTGTAGCTTGAGTACAGAACATGAAATTTTTATAATGAAAAGGTCTAATATAAAAGGAAATCAACACATCATAGCAATGTCTGTACAGAAAGCATCACAAGGCCAGCAAAGTGTTGGGTGGAGCAGAACTATCCTTACTAGTCTTATTGTTGTGATGTTTCACATATGTACCCATGTGTCAAAGCTAACTGGCTACAGCCTTTACATGTAGCACTTTATGCCAATTATATATCTAGGGTAAAATCAGATTTTCTCTTTTAAGAAAATAAAAAATCAAGTAGGATACAAATAAACAACAATTTTGGTACAAAAAATAACACTTCTGAGATCTATATTCCTAAAGTGTCTGTGGACTTACTATGGAGTATTTAAACATTAATGTTATTTGTCAAATTTCCAAGAAACAGCTTCATTTATAATAGCTAAGGAAAAATCACAACAATATTTCATCATAACTTAAGAGACTAGTTGGAAAGAAGACCCTTTAGTAGCTAAACAAATATATTTCATAAAAGTCATTTATTTTGTCTTTCATTAATTTAGAAGCTGTCTTTACAATAAAATCTCTAGTGAGAAAGTTCCTCTTCTCTCAGTCAGTGCTCCTGTTACAGAGAGCTGGTCAGAAAAGGAGGCCCGAAGTATTTAATTCACCCCTAAGTCTTATCTGACAGGTTCTAGTGAAAAGGCATTTCTTAAGACAGATAATGTGAAGACAACAAACAATCTTTTCACCTTAAATCATCATCTACTTACATCTTAGCACTTCAACAATCAAATCCACATCAGTACTGAGTTTCTTGATATGGTCAAGGTTAGCTACAGTTGTAATTGGCACATACTGATCACTATCCATCTGGGATATAAGATACATGTCGCTAGCAAGATTCTCCCTGTTAAAAGAAAACAAACTCTTTTTAACTGATAGATGCAATCAAAATTAACCAGTGGATTAATTCTTTTAAAATGCAGTTATAGCCAGGTGGTAGAGGCGCATGCCTTAAATCCCAGCATTTGGCAGGCAGAGACAGGCAGATTTTTGTGAATTCGAGGTCAGAATGATCTACAGAGCAAATTCAAAGATAGGCTCCAAAGCTACAGAGAAACAAAACAAACAAAAAGCAGTTATAGCCAGGCATACTTTTATGCCTTTAATCCCAGCACTCAGGAGACAAGTGTAGGTAGATCTCTCTCTTAGTTGGAGGCTAGCTTGGTCTACAGAGAAAATTCCAGGGTAGCCAGAGCTACAGAGAAGCCCTATCTTGAGAAGCAAAACAAAATAAAAGACACAATTATAGCTATTCTGGACAGTATTTGAGTAATTTATAAACAATGCACTTTTTTTTAAAACAATAAGAAAACCCAGCTAAATGAATAAAAAAAAAAAAAAAAAAAAAAAAGCTACAAGAAATAAAGGCCAGGAGAAAGTCAGTACCCCAAAGGCACCATAAAAGCTGGACACTGCAGATCAGCTCTAGTATCTAGGCAGCCAGAGCCAACAAAGAAGGAAACAGGATCAGCACTGTCACCCAGGGCAGAAGGTACACCATACCATCAGCAATCAGGACAAGATGTACCACTTCCTGGCATTTGGGCCAAAGAAAATGCTTCCTGCAAATTCTCAAAAAAGACTGTGTGTAATATAACACACAAAGTCTCAAAACACCACAAATAAAATCCAGTAATGGATTTCACAGGCCCTTTTACATAGTGTCTCAGTGAAGGTCAGTCAGAGTTCAGTCAAAGAGACTGAGGAAACTGTTTATCCCTTATCTACATGACAACACTTGAAGCTATGGGTTTGTGAATGGCAAAGAACTGGGCTTGGCACAAATCATTTATTTTTACACCACACCATTAGCTAAAACTCAAAATTGTGCTAAGCTGTGATGAGAAGAAGAAAGGAGGCTCAGGCATTGTCCCATCATCTTAAGCAGGCTCTCTAGTCATTTTGGGACTTTCATGAGACATGGTGGTATCCTCAAAGCTACAAGAGACTTCATTTGTGGCCAGTTACTTCATACTCAACCCCATCCACATGTCTGATAACTTAAAGGTTCATCACTAACTTAAAGGTTTGACTACAGTTTTCAACAACAAACAAAATGTCATTTAAGGGGGAAAAGCCAAACATGTACCTTAAACGTGAGCACTATATAAATAAAACAGCCCACTAAAGCAGTGTTTGGCCATTTATGCAGGAATCTATAGTGAAACAGAAATCCAGACAATCATCACCAAAATGGATCTGAGGCAAACTCTTGGGGATTCCTGGCCTAAGGGTCACTACCAGTTCTGTACAACATTTCTGATGAATAGACAGGCATGAAATTAGTCATTCAAAAATATACTACTATGAAAATTCACATCTGTAGACAATAAACTATGTACAACACATGAGATATTAGGCATTAGAAAAAGTACTAATAGCCTTACCTAGATAAGCAGAATTCCAAAGTTTTTTTGAGTACTTCCCGAGGGTCTTCCTGGCTTTCTGATTGAGACTCATTTCCTCCTATACAGAAGTAATGAACAACAACTCAGAAAAAAATAGCTTAAAATTTACCAAGTAAGTAATACAGAATAGCACTCCAGTGTTTTTGTCTGCATATATGCACAATAATATGAAAAGTGCTATTTTACCTGCTAGGAAAAAGTAAACCATGAAAAGTTGAGAAAACAATGATTAAATTTCATTAATGAAGTTTAGCAGTTCACAAAGGACAGTAAAATCTAAAGCAAAGAATCAGAACAAAAAACAAAAACCAATTGGAAACAAAAAGGGAAGGCTGAAGATATTGACACATCCATTTGGATGAAGCTCTATGGGAGAACTTTAAATTTTCCTTCCAATATCCAGCTAAAGGGACAAGTTAGAAACCATCTTATTAAAGAGACCTTATGAGAAGGTGTTAAATCAGATTCTCAGACACAAAAACTCTTCCTACATTTAAAGGAAACAGCTCAGGAAAGATGTTTGGTGGCAATGTAGGTTATATGTGTGTATGGGGTCACAGATATCAGCAGGAGACAAACGGCCTCTGGCAGAGTGAAGTCAAGTCTGGGCTAGCACTCAGGGCATCTTATGAACTAGTCTTTAATGTCACAGAGATGAAAGGTACTGGAATACTAAAGAGTGTTCCTACATAAGTCAGCCAAGCAAACACAAAAGACACTTGTATTCTAAAAGTCAAGGTTAAAGACCATGAAAAAGCAATGACAAAGTATGAGAATTTAGAATAGACAGTTCACATAGTGTTATGCTAAACTTTCAAAAAATCCATCTTCACTATCAAAAAGAAAACTAAACTGCTAAAATAACCAAGGAACAAAACAAACAAGACCATGAGACTTGATAGTGAAAACATGACCTATCGATCCCTAATCTGGAGATTTGCCTCATTTAAACTCACATTCCATTCCCCATATTGAAGAGGTATTTGCTTATTACAGGAAGTGCAAATTCAGCCTAAATGAAGTAAGGCCCTGCTCCTCAAGAGGCCAACATTCCACTGAGAGAGGAAGACAATGGACAGCTAAAGGAGCCACGGCCAGCATAATGAGGCTGAAGTGACCCAAAGGAAAATAGCCTGGGCAAGGGACCAGCAGCATGGTGCTTCCCCACATGGAAGGTGCCATCTGAATCAGTGCAGGAAAGTGGAAGTGAAGTTCCAGGCAAAGGCCCTGAGAGAAGAGTCAGCAGACAGTAAGGTGGCTAGTAAAACTGAGTGAAGAAAATGGGGGGGGGGGGGACCCACAATGAAGCATGTATTAGTCAGATCAAGGAGGCTATTTGAAATATAAATTGATTATAATTAGGAACCAATTTGGGGGTGACACTTTGGGAAGACCACCATGGTTCCATGGCACAGTCACAGCAGTATAATTAGGAGGCTAACACAATCACTGAGGGCAGACCACCATTCAAGACCATTGTGTGCTGAAGTCAAGTAACACAAAAGCCCTGCCACTTAGCCCAGTGGCTTTTCAACCTTCCACTCTGAAGCAACAGGAAAGCCAGTGGCTGCAGAAGTCATCTGGTGGCCCCTAACAACTATCATGGAAATGTGAAGTATGTAGACTATGGAAGGCAGAGAGGGGGCAAGAGAAGAAAATTGTCTAGTGGTGTGAAGGAATCACCAACTAAAATGAGACAGGGGACTGGGGAGATAGTTTAGTTGGCATGTGCTTGTTGTGCAGGCTGAGTGTGATGGTACACATTTGTAAATCTATAAACACTGGTGGGAAGTGGGGGTTTGGCAGAGACAGGCAGATCCTTGGAGACTGCTAATCAACTACTTACTCCAGCCTAACTAGTGAGCTCTCTATCCCACTGAGAGACCTCGTATGCCTCCTGAGATTGGTGGTTGGCTTCTGGTCTTATGCATATGCATGTGGTGTGTGTGTGTGTGTGTGTGTGTGTGTGTGTGTGTGTGTGTGTGTGTGTGTGCGCGCGCACATTCATTCACACACAGAAAAAAAAAAAAAAAAAAAAAAAAAAAAACAGGGTGAGATGTAACTCAAGGGTAGGCAGAGTGCTGCCAAGATAGAAGCCTAAGGTTCAATCATGAGGGATAAGAACAACCAAAAAACAAAAACAGACCTGTCCAGCTGCATAAATACAATTTTCAAACTGTAAGTACAGCTATGAGCCTTGAACAGATTTGGGGGGTGGGGACTGATCAGGAGATTGGGACAGTTAGCACAGAACACTGTTCTGAAAGACCTAGATGGAGGGGCATAAGTATGCTGAAGAATAAAAAAGAAGATACTGTGTAAGTATGAGGGAAACTGATCTAGTACTGCAGGACTGAGTAACATCAGTGAGACTCCAGATGACTTACCACCAGCAAGATGTAGCTACAGGACTGAGGCTATTTTCTTTTGAAAAAATAACATAAAGATAAATAAAATAAACGAAACAATGGTTTCCTAGGCATGTATAAGTTACTCCTAAACCCTAACTACAGAACTGTAAGAAATCAATGGGACTTCAGCAGGTGACCAAGGTCAACACCACAATGTTAAGTTTCTTTGACTATTGCCAAGTGTGTATGTCACATGAAAATGTACTTTATCTTTATGGACGTCTCTCTACTCCATAATATAATCATGGCAATGGGAAATAAATCAGAAGACTTTCAAAATGCTCCTCCTCATTCAAATGCTCCTTTGTTTACCAAAAACAAAGAAAGTCTAAGAACTGTTAAAGAGCAAGTAGCTCAAAGTAACATAATGACTAAATGTAATGTGGTGTTCAAGGCAAGATCCTGAACAGGAAGAAAGACATTGGGCAGAATGTGTCACTACTCATTTAGATTTGTGGTAAATGCATCACAGAAGATGAGAAGAAAAGGCTAGGGCTTCTGAGGGCACCTGCTGTCAAAGCGGACAGTTGCACTGACATACTTGACAATGGGTCTTTCCCACTCCTTTCTGGAAGAAGCATTAAGAACTGTTTCTAATAGTCACCATGAGGCCCTGTGGAAGCTCTAGGTAAAATTCACAGTAACAGTGCCCACCCTATGAGTGGGCTTCCAGGATTTTCAAACTCTGGTCCTGCCCAGCCTGAGACTCTAGAATTTACCAACTACAGTTCAAGTTTTCTATTGTGGCTCTGGCTCCTAAAGACAGAAATCTCTGCTCTGTGCTGTGTTTCAATTCACTTCTGTTCACTACTGTAGTTATCCCGTGAGACTAATCTTCTTCCTGGAGCTGAGGCTATTTCAGATGTTAGTTCTGGAGCCCTCAGGTGTGGAACTGGAAGCTTCATCACCCTCACATACAGACATCCTAAGTGCTGCTGTGTCTATTTGCTTACTGGGTAGTTTCGCTAAGTTTTATTGGGTACAAGTCCTTACCATGTGATAACAGATACTACCTGTTAGAAATAACAAATTATAATGTTTATAAAGTTGGATTTATTAAGTTTTTCTTTTACTGGTCTTCCTCTAGAGGTTGTACACAAGAAATCTTAATATAAGATCAAGCACTTTTATTAGTTTTATTTTTTTGTTTAATCTATGATCACTTGAAATTAATTTTTTATGTATGGTATCAAACATGAATGAGGTTGTTTGTTTATGGCATATGGCAATGCCACTCTTCCAGCAAAAGCTGTTGAAATGCTATTCTTTCTTCTGCCTCTGCAAGTCTGTCAAGGTAATACTGACACAATGACAGAGCAATACACAAAAACACATGAAAGGCCTAGAAATCAATCCTCATATGTGTGGTCAAATGATCTTTAATAAGCATGCTTAGGCTGGTGAAAGTGCTGGAAAACTCAGTGTCTATGTGCACAGACGGGCGGGGGGTGGGGCGGGACACGGGACGACATTTCATGCTGTATGTTTCATCATGCAGAAAAAAAAAAGAAGGAAAAGTTGGGCATGGTGGCACACTTCAGAAATTCCAGCACTTGGGAGAAGTCAGGAAGAGTATGAGTTCCAGGCCAGCATGACAACACCTCACCTTAAAACAAGGTGGACACAGAAAGACATGGCATGTTAGCATTAATCAAAAGAAAACACGGACAGGTGCATTTGTTTCAGAAGAATAGACTTTAAAGCAATGAAAGCTGCTTTAATGATAGAGGGCCAGATCTCCATGAAGAGTAACAAGGTCTAATATATACATGACTTACAACAAAGCATCAAAACACGAGGCTAAAACAGTACAAGCACCATGCAGACAGTTGGTGGCTCCTTACATACTAAATACACTTTACCACGTAATACAGTACTCATACGCCTTAATGTGTAATCAAAGGATTCAAAACCTCCTCCACATACACAAAAACCTGCACACTAATATGCATCATCACCTTATTAATTACTATCAAACCATTTTTCAACAAATGACTGGATAAACTGGGCTTTGCTAGAATAATTCAGGCTAAAATAGCAGTGAGCCCATGTGAGGACATGAAAGGACCACAAATGCATATTACTAAGTAGAAGAAGTCAAGCTGAAAAGGCTACCCAGTAAATGATTCCTCTCTGCTATCCTGAAAAGGTTACAAAGACAAAACAAAACAACAAAAACAGTCACTGCCCAGGGCTGGGGAAGAGGAGTTGATATAGAAAGCACAAGTGATTACTTAAGCAGTGGGACTATCCACAGTGTACACACTGACAACAAATGTTATGTGCTTGAGATGTATAATACCAAGAAGTATGCCCAATATAAACTATAAACCATGGGCTTTGGGTGATAATGGTATCTGCACACAGGCTCATCAGTTGTAAAACACAACACTCTGTGGAGTGTTGTTGACAGTGGGGGAGGCTGCACAGTGTATGGGCAAGCACATAAGGAAACTGTACTTTGCTCTACTTTGCTGTGAATTTAAAACCACTCTTTAAAAAAAAGTAATGTCTTTGCTGAAAATCGATTAAAGTGTGGCAAGTAAGTGACTGTGGAGTCCCTCTCTCTAAAAGGCACCTCTGTGTCACCCTTCCAAGTCTCAGGTAACCCTAAGGCAATGGAGGTAAGACTATGAAGACTGAAGGCTGGAGAAGAGTGCTAGAGGGTCTTCCACACACCACACGGTACTGTACTGACCTCACTGCAGCTGTTATCACTTTATTTACTATTAGTGGGGGAGGGAGCTCACAAAGCTACCCCCCACTGTTAATAGGTACGGAGAGAGGGGGTACTTTCTTCGGTGATACAGGCACCAATAGGCTGCCAATGTCCCAGTGACAAGCCCCAGTTCATGTTCAGGAAGTAACAATAATTAAACTCAGTGGGTAAGACATCATGGTCAGAGAGGTGGCTGGAAAGAAGAGTTTCGGGGCGGGGGCGGGGGGGGTTGGGGGGAATGACCCAAATTTCAACATATACATGGGTTAAACTGTCAAAAGAATAATACATAACTTCTACTTCTCCTCCTCTTTTTCCTCTTTCTCCTTCTTCATGGTTTTTCAAGATAGGGTTTCTCTGTGTAACAGCCCTGGCTGTCCTGGAATTCACTTTGTAGACCAGGCTGGCCTCAAAAGCAGAGATCAGTCTGACTCTGCTGGGATTAAAGGCATGTGCCAGACTAATAATAAAATATTAAAAGAACAAAGATGCCTGAGACTATTAGTCATGGAAATTCAAGCTTAATCACAGTGGGCTCTGCTAGCTACACCTCGGAGAGTGGCTGACTGGGCTCCTGGGAAATGCTAACCCACTGCAGTGGAGAGTGGCTTCACGGTTCCTCTCTCCTTACTCTTCCCTTTATTTGATTTAGATCCACAGTGCTCAGGGTTGAATCCAGTGCCTATGTTAGCATTTTACAAACTGATTTGGTTTTGTAGATTATACCAGAAACAAAACTGCAGACAAGGAATCGCTTTGCTACTACCTATAAGTATTTCACATTGGCACTTCCATGCCATATTATGACATGTTATTGTATTTTTGATACTATCTACTTTGTATTTCTTGCATAATTTGTTCCCAGTCTGAGATTTAGATACATTCTAAACTTTAAATTATTTTTGATCCTGTTCATTTCACTATTAGGATCCCCACCTGTTATTTTCCTTTTTGAAATACAGTTTAAATGTACAACATTCCCTTGTTTTCAATAAAAAGGGACCCTCACTATGACTCCAGTTTACCCCAAAGTCCTGTCACTTCTGCATCATTAGGCAGTTAGTGGTAGTTAACAAGGAGAAGCTGGTCACATCAAATTGCTACATGCTGGTGAACCCTTGCTTACATGGAGTTTTAAATCACTTTAAATTTAAGATGGCTAATTTATAGTTACCAGAAAGCAAAGTGATTTTAATTTTTTCTAAGTTCTTACCATATTCATTTGACCACAGTTTTTAATTGTCTGGGAATTTTATATCATGCACTCCAATCACACTCATCTCCCAGTCTCTCTGTATCCCTAAAACCTGCTGCGCCCTCCCCCCCACACACAAAGAAAGCCAAAGAAGCATAAAAATAATAAAAAAGAAAACACTTCACTTTCCCTCCTGTCTTTCTCACCTCTTCATCCTAGAGATACTGGGAGCTGCTGTGTAGCACACAGTATACCCCTCTGTCCAAACTGCTTTACTCATTGTGTAATGAGTCATTGGTCAGGCTCAAGGCTCTGGCCTTGGCACGCCTTCAATATCGGATGCCCACCGACATTCCTCTCCGATATCTTGCAGTTGCCAGGAGTCATGGAGATCCTGGGGCTATAGTTCCGCAGGATCAGTCCATTCACAGATGTTGGGGTTTACCCTGGATGTGTGCCTGGGTGGCAGCTGAGTTGGCTAGTCCAGGCCACTGGAACCACTCCTATCGGGCGAGGGGCGGAGCCAGCTCTCAAGGTTAGGGGTGGGGCGAGCTTTCCCAAGTGGGTACTAGGGCCAGCTCTCCTATTAGGGGCGGGGCCAGCCTTCCCTGTGCTGGCTGATCAGATTTAAAGCAGTAGGCTCTACCACAGTGTGTAAAAAAAAAAACAAAAAAACTTAATGTGGACCCTAGCTTCTTCGGGTCTGACAACTCCATTTCCCGATCACTAAGACAATGATTCCCTAGACTTCCAAATGCTGACTGAGGAGACAGGACTTGATTTAAAACCTGAGGCCATTACACACTGCAACAATAAGAAACGAAAACAAAAAGGGAGAAATTGTAGTCAACATGCTTACTTTCTTCCTGCTACTCACTGCACTGACAAAGGGTACACAGTTCAAATCTTCTGGTTTCCAGGACTCTGCAGTAAAGCTTCAATTGCTTCCATCACTGTATTTATTCTCTCTGCCACACTCAGTCCAATACTAACTCTCCATCTCTGCCTCAACACTTCATCCTGCCAATAACCTTGTGTTCCTCATAACTCCGATGCCATTTGTCCCAGAAGCTAACTGATAATATCCAGCATACCTTCCCCTCCAGGGTCTCATTTCTTTCTGAATCCATTAGTTTCAAGGAACATTAAAGGTACACTGTTTAAAGATAGAGCACAAAACTAAATTTTTAAAATCAAAGTAAGTGAAAACAAATCCAAAAAGTAGGCGTACCTGTATCATTACTTTCAGGCAGAGGTTCATATTCTGAGTGATCCAGGGCCAGAGTACTCATATCTGTCTGGTCCGCCTCCTGTAAGTCTGACAGTGCTGTATTCTCATGACTTTTGTCACCATCGCCATTGGCATTCAATCCTATAACTGCAATTGTATCCCAAAAGGCTGTGTTAGAATAACAACTTTCCTTTAAAATAAACCTTACATTGGTGTTTACTCAAAGTTTTTAATTGGATTGTAAAGCTCCCAAGGAACTAAACCAGTGCTTCTTAACCTTCCTAATGCTGGGGCCCTTTCATACAGTTCCTCATGTTGTGATGACCCCAACCATAAATTTATTTCATTGCTATTTGAATCGTAATGTAAATATCTGTTTTCTGGTAGTCTTAGGTCTACCCCTGTGAAAAGGTTGAGAGCTGCTGCTCTAAATACTGTCATAAACCAGAACACAAATGTGAATGGAGAAAGCAGATTAAAATCTTAAGGAAGGCAAAGGCTTAAAAGCAGGCTGCTCCAGCCTCACTACTCACCCTGCTGGTGGCAGTCTGCAGGATGGCCAGGAGCCTCCTCCCATGCGGCACTCACACCAACAGCTGCGCTATTTGCTTCCAAATGTAACATATGTGTCCCCCATACTTTCGCATTAGGGTTTAGCTCTGAAACCTTAGTTGTTGGGACCTAGAAAAAAAATATTCAGACACACACTCACACACACATATATATATGTATACTAAGTTCAACCAAATGCTGCTTTGTTAGTTTACAGTTAAAAATAAATTAATTAATGTTAAGAGAATATAGGCTTAAAAGGCTAATAAGCCCAGCTATTCACACACACACACACACACACACACACACACACACCCACCCACCCACCCACCCACCCACCCCTTTGGGAAGAAATGAGGCTCAAAAAGAAACAGAGCTGTAGTCAGAACTCCACTCAAGTCACATTTAAGTTTCTTCTAACCATAAGGCTGCTACACACTGTAATTGACAGATGCCTGCATTTCATCTCACAACCAAATAACCAATGATTTCTTTTATGACCTAACACAGATCCCAATTCACAGATCTACAAATTCAACACAATGCAGATGGAAACATTTGTTATACAGTTCCAAACACATAAGAGATGGGGGGGGGGAGGGGAGATCCTCCTAGCAGCCAAGGCTCCTGAAGCACAAGAGAAAGCCAGAGCATCCACTAAGACAGGAAAACACCTTACACTCTCAGCAGAGCTACTCGCCCCCATTCCTGAGAGAGAGCCTCCCTAAAACCTCAGCCAGGCCAGCCACTTCAGAACAACTCCCTTGAGCTGCCTGCCACAGGGGCTGCAGGTGATGTTGACACTTCTAGACTAGGACTCTCACCTGTGTTAACACCACTGGAGCTTGAATCCAACGCCCTACTGACAGCTGTGCAGTTATTTACTCTATAAACATCACCTGGAAATGACTTCTGCCAGGCTCACTTTTTAAAGTAAGAATTTTTTCTTTTCTTTTTGGAGACACAGTTTCTCTCTGTGTTGTTCAGGCTGTCCTGGAACCCCATCTGTGGACCAGGCTGTCTTTGAACTCAGATCTTCCTGCCTCTGCCTCCCAAGTAATGAGATTAAAGGTGTGCTTTATCATCACCTGGCAGAATTTCATTTTTTTGGTAGTGGACAATTGCAGAAAAGTATACTTGGTAGGGAAAGTGTAAAATCCAATGTGAAGCTCCACAGATTCAGAATGACTGACTAGTCTAACTGTATAGAAGTTTCACTGAGGTTTATAGGCCTAGGTTCTGGTTAAATGTGCACAATGTTTTTTGTTTGTTTGTTTTTCCATTTGCAGGTACTTTAATTTAAAAAAAGAAATTCAAATATTCATACTAAAAAAAGTGATGGCTTAAGGAGCGCAGCACGAGCCTGGTACTTACTGAGCACTCATTAAGTCATTAGCTCACTGGTTTCAATGACAACAATAGAATCCCATGCTTAGATGCTGGCGACCTCATCCAAAGATTTCCAGTTCAGAATATCAGAGCACGCTTACAGGACAACCACCTCCCGGGTCTTGCTTGATGTTTCTAACACAACAGCATTTCTGTAAGTCAGTCCAGTTTGTCTAGCATACCCTTTGATTTCCTTTGGGGATTATGGTCTTTGTTCATGCACTTACAATATTCCCTCACTAAGTAGATACTCTCCATTTTCATGTCTTTTTTCCTGACATAAGAAAAAACCTGGCTTTCTTCTGCTTACAAATCCTGAATGTTTCTCCAACCCAATGAAAAAATTCCAGTGGCAGTTATTTCCCAAATACTAACTCCAATTTGCCATTGCACTTCAACACACTACTTGCCTTTTCAATTACACCACCAGCCATGGCAGAGCCTCCTTAAGGGAAAAGAAAACTTAGTGTTCTACACTGGGAACAGCCAGGCTGCATTGCTCCTGGGTTCAAAGACAGTACTCATTTCTGCACTCCATAACACATGAAGCACCACTAATGTGCTATTTCAAGGAAGCATGTAGATTTGTAATTACAAACAGGTAGATTAAATCCACACTGTCTCAGGTAAGAAAAGCCACTAGTGAAGACTCTTGAACTGTTTCTGACACTGCAAGTAGAAGGCTTCGGGTCAAATAGTATTTATGTTCATCCTCTGGAAGCAACTCTGACCTTCTGTTACCTCCACTCACTGGGCAATAACTGAAACACTATGCCCACAAAACAGATGCCTAGTGAGCACCCATCTGGAACTCTTTACTTTGATAAGTATTTCCAAAATGCCAGCATTCTCTGAATAAATGGAAGCACAAAACACTGATTCTTCAATCACAGCTAAACATCCATTTCATCTTTGGCATCTGGCTTTTCTGCAAAGGGTTAGTTTCATTTCTCTCACACACTCATCTAATAAGCACATCCAACTACATACACAACAAATGTGGCTATGAAAACACTGTGCTAAGTAATCAGAACACAATGGTAGGTGCATAAGCACCTACAAAGCTAAAGGGACTAAGACACTGCCTCTCACACACACAAACACACAGAATGTGTGTTTTAACAGCTTTACTGAGGTATAACTTACATCTTTCAAAAGAACCACATACTCAATGTATATAATTTTCATGAGGCTAAATTCATGAAACTATCAATCAGAATCCTCCAAAGAATCAAATTCATGAAACTATCAATCAGAATCCTCCAAAGAATCTATTATTAATGAAATTATTAATTATTTCTTTTATTCTAGTTCCTTCTTGACTACCTGTGTGAATCATCTTTTGGATTAGGCCCAATTTTCTTCACAGTAACCTAAACCACAAAAATCAAGCTTCCCTATTTCAGTTTCATTCAATATATTAGACTCTTGTCACATGCACATACTATACATTTTTAAAATTCCTAATACCAACTAACATTAATCTTTTCTATTTTTTGTGCCTTTTGCAGCTGACCAGAATGTTCTGTAGTTTACAAAGACAGATTACATGGCTTCGTGGCTGTGAAGTACCCACAGCCGCATGGCATAGTTATTCTTCCTCAATGTCCACAGCTGGACTTTGTCTGTGATCTACATAACTGGCAGACACCAGACACACTTTGCTTACCACTGTGTTGCTAATATCCAGCAGCATTCAGAACACATAAGAAAGGTGCTTGGGAAATATGCTGAATGAATACTTTTTTAAAAAGTATTAGCACAAAAAAAATCATATTTTCCACAAAGTAATGTGGTTTTAGCTCATAAATGACTTGGACCCTACTATTAAGAAATTATTACAACTTGGATGATTAAGTGGTGGTTCAGTGGTTAAGCACGGCTGCTCATCACAAGATCCAGGTTTGATTCCCAGCACTGGAATGGCAGCTAACAACCATGTACCAATATATATCAACAACTTCAGTTCCAAAGGATCTAATGATAATCTCTGCTGGCCTCCTCAGGCACTACACACACACATATATACAGGCATCTATTAAGGCAAAACAGCTATACACACAAAATAAATAAATCTTTAAGTGAGGCGACCTGGAGAATTGGCACAATGGTTAAGAGCACATGTTACTCTTGCAGAGGATCAGAATTTGATTTCCAGCACCCATGTGGTAGCTCACAACCAGTTACTCCAGCCCCAGAGAATCTGAAGACCTCTTCTGACCTTCCCTAGCACCAAGTAAGCACAAGGTACACAGATACATGTAGGCAAAACATTCATGCACATAAAATAAATAAATCTGTTGGGTGGTGGTGGTGCTGCCAGTCCACGGGAGGCAGAGGCAAGCAAATCTGAGTTCAAGGCCAGCTTGACTTACAGAGCAAGTTCTAGGATGCCCAGGTTGACACAGAAAACAAATTTAAAAAAGGAAAAAAAAAAAAAAAAAAAAAAACACCATTATTCCTTAAGTGTGGTCACGTCCAAGCCAGATATGAGGAATGTTACACAATTCTGAGCAGTTAATTAGGATTCAGTAACAACAACTAACAGCAGAGATCTCACTGCATTCTGCACTCCTACTACAATAAGAACAAGCCTACTAAGCAGGTATCACCACCCACACCCATTTCACAAGAAAAGTAAGACTGAGAAAGGTTGAATAGTCTGCCAGTGGTAACAATGGTAGTGAGAAAATTGTGCTCCACTATCAGCAAACATAAAACACTCAAGAACTGGCTTCTCAAAATTCACATGAAAAATATTTTTATTAGAGACAAATCTGCTACTATTTATTTAAAACATGGTTTTGCTTGTGGGTATACGAAACTTGTAAAGGACTTTAAGAACCCTAGTTTTATCTGTCTAGCTCTATGAGCCAGAATTTTTCCCCCTGAAATTTTGTGGGTTGGCAACAGTTACTAAAACCAGAAACAAACTGACCTTAGCTACACATAAAAAGTCAACACTGTGAAGGATGAGGCATTCCATTCACAGGTTTTGATGATCTGTATATTCAAAACACTATGCTCTATGTAAAAAGAAGTACTGACTTATATTTTACAGATATATAGATGGTCTCCCCAACAGGTTGCTGAATAGGAACTAGAGGAATGTTGGGGAAACTAAAATATGGAGTTATGAGATAATGAAACAAAGAACCGGGATACCTTAGGAAGCCTGTACTACTGGAATTACCCTGACTTCCCAGCCACACCAATGCTACCTCTGGCCCTTTTAACTGCAAAGCAGAGATACAGCAGCCCAATATAAAGTTAGTTTTAAAATGTCTGTAACAAGACTTTGAAAACTAAGGCAACACATTAAACACAGTAACACCAGAAATCAGTATACTGCTTGGACATAACCCCATAATTGAAAAGTCAATTAAAACAGAAAGCATACATCATTCATAAAGCCACAAGGATAAAGACAGCACTTAATCTGTACTTTGCATAAACATACCAAGCAGTTAGTAACTGGTAAGTATTACTAACTGTGCACATTTAAATAAAAGATTCTTCGTATATTATCTTAAAAGTTTAATCATTTAGAGTTGTGTCATCTACAACTATTTAAGGTCAGCTTGTTTCTGGTTTTAAGGAGAAAAACCAATGAATGTAAAGGTTAACCTGGTAACATTCCCAAATGTGGGTGCAAAAACAATGTGGCATGGAGAAAAGGCGGGCTAGAGAAGGCCAATGAGCAATCCATTTGATTATATGACATGTTTATTCCCATTTTATAACCCTCTCCTTAATACGTGAGTGAAATCCATCTCCTTCCTATTACCAATAAATAGCTTTTCTTAAGGATTCCATAAAAATCACTACAAATATACTACTGGCTGAATAAAGAAACATCTTCCTATTATTTTGGGTCAGCCTTTATTATCTATGGGTTTCATATCCACAGATTCAACGAGTCACAGATCAAAAATATTTGGGGAGAAACCCTGTATTCCCTACTAAACACATAATTGTTTTTCTCACTATTTCCCTAAACAACATAGTGTAACCATTATTTCCACAGCTCTTACATGGTGTTCAATATAAGTATTCTAGAATGATATCAAGTATGCAGGAGAATGCATATATATATGTAGTGATATATTATGATTTATTAAAGCTTGCCTGAGGATTCAGAAAGCGGAAGTCAGCCATAAACTATAGAAGCCAGGTGCACACCTTTAGTCCAAGCAGCCAGAAACTAGGAAGTGGTAGTACATACCTTTAATCATAGGACTCAGGATTAAGAGCTAGACAAGAGTTCAAGGCCACCCAGGCATACATGAGATTAAACCAGTCTAAGAGTAACAAGAGCTCACACCTTTAATCCCATCATTAGGGACATATAAAAGACAGGAGCAAGGTCTCAGTATCAGGCATTCATTCTTCAGCAACATTAGGAATAGGGTCACTCTAGCCCTGTTAGAGAGGTAAGCTCTCTGGTAGTTTGGCTACTTTGCTTCCCTAATCTACAGGTTGAACCCTAAAATCTGTCTCTGGGCCATTTATTTTCATGCTACATATATTTTCATGTTGCATACATATATGCAAATATAGTAGCACCTCACAAAAGGAACTTTATCATTAATGATTTTGATAGCCATAGGCTCTTGGAACCAATCCCCTGCAGATACAAAGGGGATGAGTATATGTCCTTTCACTATTAACACTGACACATCTGTATAATGAACGAGGTTTGTTTCCTGTTGTTGAATATAAGTACATTCACTTATATAGCTCAAGGAAGCTACCCAACATCAGCAGCAAAGCTTCTTCCAAAACACTGAGGTCAGAACACAAGACACCATACAAAAATAAAACATACTCAGAATATATTTGTGTTCTATAAATGTGACATGTTGTCAGTGACTTCTAATACTTGCTGAAACTCCTCATACTGTCCATATGACAAGAACCCCTCTCAGAAGGGTAAGGGACACTGAGCACAACAGTATCCATACAGAAAGTTCTATACAATGCTGTTGGATAATTGTGGGCATGCTTCGGCACCAACAGTTAAATAAGCCAATTAATAATTCAGATTTCTCATTTGATGCTTCATGCACTCACAGTCTCACAAAAGCATCCAGGCTGCTTACACCCAGAATTAAGTAATTTTCATAAACACACACACACAAAGGTAAAGACTGTCAGAGCACAAGACAACAAACACTGATACAGCATACTTACTAACTGTCCACCTCTATTCTGCCATCCCCAAACAACACCGTCCTCTGACACTGGCAGCTGAAAAAGGGTCTGTTCCAATGAAAATGAAGTATTTCCTAAGTATGGAGGCTTACTGTGTAGATCCTCACTAAAAATTTGTGCATCTTCTGTCATGTTTTCTGTGGCTGTGTTAGCCCAGACATAGCCCACTTGATATCTACCACACCCACCTGCCAGTCCTTCCGAAAGTGCCTGGCTTGCTAGCCCTCCCATTGGGTAACAGGAAAATTTATTGAAACAATGAGCATGGAATTCTTCTGGGATCCTGTGCCAATCCATTTCTGAGTGACTTTCAGATACATTTAAGATGTCTTCTGTGGGTGATGCAACACAGTCACCACTTGGCACTGCACATTCTTTACTCTCTGTTGGGATGGCAGGAATTGCCTGGGGAGAATTACTGGGAATAGCTGCAGGCATATCCACTTGTATAGAGTCAACATCAATAAAAGAGGAACATCCCTCAGATGTGTTGCGTAATGCTCTTTTAAAAGTCACATCAGAATTTCCTGAAAAATGCATGTCTCCATTAAAAGTGGATTCTTTAACTGTGGACTTGGCATTTCTTCTTTTTGTTCGACATGGGCCTAAGCAGTCAATGCTGTTAGGATCAATACTGTCTTTATCCAAAGAAAGATACTTTTTCTCTTTGCAAGTCAGTTTATTTTTACTCAATTCTGATGCTCTGTTACCAAAGGCACTAGAAACTTTTATTGATTCAGAGTTACTAAAATCTAGTTCTGGGCTTTTGTCACTGTTAACCCACTCCTCTTCATGTGACACTGGACTGGGGTTTGATGGCGGTAGAACAGTAAGGTCTGGGTATTCATTCACTCCATCAGTTTTGTAACTGTTTTCAATTTGATTAGTTTCACAATCAGGGTCTGCTGCTATGCCAGAACCAATACAAGTTACCGTGTCCCCATTGGGCACGACTTTACATTTAAGAACACTTGTTTCCCACTGAAAGATTGTTTTGGCATCTGACTTGGAATTTTCTGTGTCCTCCTCACCAATGTCTCTATAATTAGCCTCCTGTGGTTCCTTTTCAAGTACATAGGGCCCATTAGATTGGTTGTGTACTGCACCAACTAAGCTCTTCACATGTACTTTATCTCCTGTGTTATGTAGGACTGCTTCCCTTGCTTCAGTATTAGTACTGGTGAAAATAAATGCAGGTGTTTCTGGGGCCGGAAGAGGTCTGAAGTGATCACGAGACTTGTCACTTGGTATTCTTTGTGGCAGTCCAAATTTCAGCAGATCTATCTTCTGGACTACCCCTTCTGTGTCTGGTTCACTGTCCACTTGAGTTAAATCACAGGTCTCTGTCTGAGCCTTGTCTGCTTGATACCAACATTTTAACTCCCTCTTGCCATAGCTCTCCTTCTCTAAAATGCTCATACTATCTTCATCTTGATAAGTGGAACCATTTTCAGAATACAAGACTATCTCACGTCCATTTGCCACCTGGATACTTCCACTTTCCAGGCTGCTATCCCCCAGGTGCTGCTCCTTCACTAGCACTGGCTCGTGGTGGAGTATAGGATTAGGGACATCAGGTTTGCTCAAGGCAACTTCTCTGACATTAGCATGAACTGGGAGATACTCAATTCCTAAACTCTCTGAAACAAACCTTTTGGGGCTTAAATTACTCTTATCTGGACCAAAGGAAAGGATTCTATCTGGCCTGCTAACACTGATATGAAAATAATCATTGCCTTCTAGTACCTTTTCAGAGTTAGGCTCTCTCTCCATATTAGAGTTTAAACTTTGGCCAACGCTAACTGTTATAGCCTCAGGTTCACCATTCCCATCAACATATGAAATGTCATTAAGTAAATTAACAAGTGAGTCATCCACCTGACTTCCTATTCCTGAAGCACTGTTCTCTCTTTCTTCAGATATAGCACACGAACACTTTAATGAGTCACTGCCTATGTTAATATTTAATTCAGGGAGTAGGCCAGTATTATGCAATGTACTATGTTCTGTGTGAGCTTTAGGGAATTTGGCATAAACGTCTGCCCTTAGAGACTCAGTTTGCAGGTCACTCATGTGTGCTTCATCAGATGGATCATCATGGTCCACCAAAACATCAGAACTACATTCACTTTTCTCATTAAATGCTTCTTTTGTTTCACAGGGGCATAGGACATCCTGGGGTAACAGTTTTTCATGCTGCAGCTTTAACTCTCCTGCCCTCTGTACAGCACTTGAGGCAGCACATTCTTCCCTGTTATCTAAGGGCCAATCCACTTGGAAAACTTCATAAGTAACAGCTGAATGACATTCTTCTGCAGCTGCTCCATACATGGGAGTATGCAAATCCTCTTCCATGTTCAAGCACTCTAGATCTATAGCACAAATACTATAAAATTTGGTCTCCCTTGAATTCTTACATTGTTTGTCATCAACATAAATATGGCTTTTATTTTGCAACTCTCCAGCAGAAACATCTACAGAGTTATTCTCATTTAAACTACTGATTTGAACATTTAGTACTTTTTCTTTCTCTATTAAAGAGTTTTTACAAGTGGCCAGGTAACATTGCAGATTGTCACTTACAAAAGTTTCCTCCTGCTGGTCAAAAGGCATGGGCTCATGTGAGAAAGGCTGGTCATCTTCAGGACAAGCCTGTCTGTCACTACTCATACACAGTGGGTCACTGACAATCTCAGAATTCTCTTCAATAACAACAGTATCTAAATTCTTGTTACCCTCATCCAAATTTTCAGACCCATGAAAGAACTCATGTATGGAAGAGGAATTAGAATTCAGTGACTGCTTTGATCTATGATCTTGTTTGTGCCCAGATCTTGTAAAAACTCTAGTCCACACAGTGACACCAGCAGCAGCTCGGCTGGGTCCATTTTCAACATTGTGAAGCTTCTCACCTTCAAGGCTATCAAATAATGAAGATAAAGTTTTACTTATCTTGTTCTCCGGTTTCTTCTCTTCCACAGATTTTTGTAACAGGCCAATTTTCTCATTGTCACTGTCACTACTTAATTCTTTGCTGAAGCAACAGCCCATATCGAAAGTTCAAAAACTCGCATCACAATGCTTGCCCTTTTCTGAGCTTCTACAAATAACGTCTCACACTAACTTGCTATCGTTTCTGAAAATAAGCCAACACATGGTACCAAAAATAACTCCTTGCACAGCAGTCACATGTGACTGCCACTCAAATCTAAATCCTAATGACAACAGAGCCCTGCCTGGCATTCACCAGACTCCTTGAGCTGAAATCCAAATGGCACAAGGAATGTAAAGGTGCAGAACAGTGTGTGTGTGTGTGTGTGTGTGTGTGTGTGTGTGTAGAGGTGGACAGAAACATAACTGGCTTTTTTCTTATTTTCATAAACTTAATTTTAAAAACAACTTATTAGCACAGCCAGAAGAAATTTCAAACTTCTGATCCTTTTTTTTTTTCCCCAGTGTTTCAGTATCTCCTGGATTATATATAGGACAGAAACTTTTAACATTTCCAGCTACTAGACTGCAAGGGGACAGTGGGTAAGGGTGTTTGCTGTGCAAACCTGATAACTTGAGTTCAATGCTGGGATGGACATCTGACCTGCACATGTTTGCTGTGACCCAGGTATACTTGCACACTTAGACAGACACAGACAGATAGACGCGCACGCACGTGCACACACACACACACACACACACACACACACACACACACACACACACACGAGATAATGAGAATAAATAAAATACATTTTATTGCTACTTAAAAGTTCAGCCTTACCAGGAGTGGTAGCACACACCATTAATCCCAGCACTCTGGAGGCAGAGATAGTCAGACCTTTGAGTCTGAGCCCAGCCTGGTTTACAAAATGAGTTCTAGCCAGGGCTGTTACACAGAAAAACCCTGTCTCAAAAAGCCAAAAAAAACAAAAAAAAAAAAAAAAAAAAAAAAACTCCTAACAGCACTATATACTGCTAAAAAAATATTTAACCTGTAAGATACTGTGCTAAAAGCAAGCAGTTGTCATTTTTAAACCAAATGTGCAAATATTGGCTATTTTTAGACCATCAAACTTTCTGACTGTAAGTCTACTTATTCAATATGAAGACATTTAGTAAGTAATCTAAGCATCCACTCAGAAACAATATCATGTGGGGGGGGGGCGTGGGAGGAAGGGAGAGGAAACTGGGATTGATATATAAAATAAGAAAAAGTTATATATATATATATACATATATATATATAATTAAAAAAGAACAACAAACAAAAATGTTGAAACAAACAAGGGTAAGCAGAGTCACAGCCTCTATTAGCACGAGGATCTCCAAATAGCAGATAAAAATATAGTGCACCTCCCTGCTACTGTGTCTGTGAGGCATAGCTGCTCACCTGAGAGCAAAGGATTGCACACAGTGACTACTTTTAAAAAAAAAAAAAAAAAAAAGGAAAGAAAGAACATCATTAAAAGGCATAATTTTTCAATGGGTAGGGTGGGGTACAGGAGAGTAAAACATAGCCTTGTATAAGCCAACCAAGCACTCTACCACAGAGCTACATCCCAAGATAGTTCCTTTGGTTAAGTTCTCTTATTGTATTATCTTTAAGTAGTTTTAAAGGATTATTTCTGATTGAGACAGTAAGATGGCTTAGTGGGTAAGGGCAGTGGCTGCCAAGCCTTATACCCCAAGTTTGACTCCTGGGGCCAACACTGTGAAAAGAGAGAACTGACTCCCCCAATTTGACCTTAGGCTCTATTGAGTTATCTATAGTGCAAAAGAAGAATCAAAAGTTCTATATCATGATTAGAAAAGACATGGCACTTTCCAGAAAACAAGCACTACTCCTAACACTGCTTGTCCTTACACATCTCTCAAGCAGCATCTCTGCTCATTTATGCTGAAAGGCAACAGAATCATAACAATAGAAAATGGCCCCGGAGGACAAAGTAGTTCCACTAAGATCACGGAGGCAACTTAGCTGCCAAGAAGGCAGTAGGAGTTAGACCCCAAGCCCTTGCGCTTCTTGCCTCTCATGACAATCACTGGTCACTATACCCAGTTTATACAGTACTGAGGATCTCTCCCTACATTTGAGACAAATCATCTATCGGAGCTCTATATTCAGCCTGTTTCTTTATTCTCTTATTTAGGATTTGACTTGCATGCTTTTAAAAATTACCATCAAAATGTACAGCTAATCATATACATACATACAATTAATTGAATGCAGATAAACTGAAAACACTGTCAAGGATACTTGAGAATAAATTAATATATCTGATACTTCCATTGTAAAAAAGAGACACTATCAACACTTAACACACTCTAGGGCAGTGTTAAAGGCATCCTCCTTTTGACAAACATCTACATTTTTCTAAATTTTTTAGAATACATATTTGGGGTAATGCCATATTTGGCCATCATGGTTGTGGCTAGACAATCTGTGATAAACCTAGAAAATTACCTGAGTCAAAGCTGGGATGGAACTTGTTTGAGAAGTGGTTTGCGATATAGGACCATTCATCTGTAAAATTGAAAACATCAAAAACTTCATCATTCTAACATAAAGAAAACAATTTCAAACCATAGCAATTAAGCAAAGCCAAATCCACAAGAAAAAAATATGCATGGTTTTACATTAGCAAAGAAGTTTATGAGTAAGTATATTCAGAAGAACAGAGAAGCCTGAAAATGTATAATTTTTGAAGTTCCAAGCAATTGGGGTGAATTTTAAAAGCTACTTTCCCCAACACCACTTAGAAACTTTAAATATTACTACTTGACAGGATTAAATCTTTTTTGTTTTGTTTTGTTTTTGTTTCTTTTGGGGCAGGGTTTCTCTGTGTAGCCTTGGGTGTCCTAGAACCAAGCTGGCCTTGAACTCAAGAGATCCACCTGCCTCTGCCTCCTGAGTCCTGGGATTAAAGGTATATACCTGGATTCTATGGATTGTGGCTGACTTTGATTTCTGTCTGAATCCTCAGACAAGCTTTAATATATATACATTTAATGTATCACTACAGAGTCATATATCCAGACTACATTTTCATTATTTTATTTATTATTTGCATATGTTAGATGTATGTTTATAGCATGTGGGTGGGTATCACAGTGTATACATGAAGTCAAAGAAAAACTTTCATGAACTGGCTCTCTCCTTCCACTATGGAATATGGGAATCTAATTTAGATTGTCAGGCTTGTGTGACAATTGCTTTTATTCACCTACTGGCCCCAAATTGCATTTTCTTGATACAAAGCTTTAAGTATCTAAAGTTATAGGTGTCTTGTTTTCTGTAACACCTAGTACTGCAGTTCTCAACCTGTGAGTCAAGACCCCTTTGGGGTGGCATATCAGATATCTAAATTATGATTCATAATAGCAGCAAAATTACAGTTTTGAAATAGCAATGAAAAATTTTTATGGTTGGAGGTCACAACAACATGAGGAACTGTATTAAAGGGTCTCACCTTTAGGACGGTTGAAAACCACTGATCCAGTACTTTTAGTTTCTGCTACTAAAGCTGCAGATATTTTTTCAGATGGACAGGGTTAAATCTGAAATATTACAGCTTGCTATTTGAGGGAACTGCAGAATAAAAACTCAGAAACAAGCCAGGTGGTGGTGGTACACACCTTTAATCCCAGCACTCTGGAGGCAGAGGCAGGATAATCTCTGAGTTCTGAGATGTCAGCCTGATGGGTTCCAAAGCTACAGAGAAACCCCGTCTTGGTGGGGGGAGAGTGAAGCCAAGAAACAAACAAACAAAAAGCAAAACCATAGAAACTAGAATTTCCTTCACTACTTTCTCGAGTGTACCATAAAACAAGCTGACTTTCCTTTGAAAACAGGTCATAAGGCCCTTATTCCACAGGGCATCCAGTCTGTTAGAGACAGGAATGTCACACACAGATGCCAAGGCAAACCTAAACAGGCCTACGCCATTCTTGTACATGTGCGTTTCTGTTATCAGATTTTGCAGTTTGCCTTGTAGGTCTTTACTTCTAACTCACTGCTAAATAAATGTGTTTCTCTTGCTGTAGGGATCTCAGCCAGGAACACTAGATGAATAAGTAGTCCTTTTGCCTCTGTAAGACTTATTTGTTCTAAGATTCTTAAGTCCAATGTAGAGTTCTTAAACAGAAAAAAGAAATGGATGCCAGTGGCCTGTGGGCCTCCCCACCCTCCAACACCTACCAGATGAGAGCTGTCCTTGCCCTCCTGGACTCGCTGTGCCTGCGGTTCAGCCACAACTTTAGCGTCCTGATCAGAAGTCATGGGCTCCACTGGAGAAGTATAACGCTAACCTCACGACGCTGGAAAAGGACAAAATGAAAGGGTCACTTGAGAAGCATCAGTTTCTGTAGTTTTATTTTTGAGATGGTCTAACTCTGTAACCCAAGCTAGCCTGAAACTCACTATTACAGTTCAGGTTGCCTCCAACTCACTGGAACCCTCTTGCTTCCCCAATGCCAGGATCCTAAGGCTGAGCCACTGTGCCCAGTATTATGACTAATTCTTAAAAGTAAAATTACTAAATTTGAAAATGCTTGAATCTTCTAGCATAATTTGTTAACCCTTCTGGATTCCAAGCAGGTTAGAAATATATGCTCAGAACACTCATGTTATTCACTAAGGCTGTCGCAAGTTTCTCCTTTAGAACAACCAAACTATGCTAACACAGAAAAAAAAAAAAAAAAAAAAAAAAAAAAAAAAAGCCCCAGGAATTAATCTTAAAAACTAAAACCAAAGGGTTAATATTCAAGACACATGAATATTCATAGCTCAAGGACTTGAGAGTTGGCTCAGTGGTTAAGAACACTGGCTGTTCTTCCAAGGACCCAGGTTCAATTCCCAGCATCCATGTGGCAGCTCACAGCTGTCTGGAACTCCAGTTCCAGGGAATCTGACACCCTCACACAGACATACAGGCAGGCAAAGCATCAACAGAAATGAAATAAATAAATCTTAGAAAAAAAACTAATTTCAAAAATGGCCAAACAATGTAAATAAATACCCCATCAATGAAAAATGACAAACACACATATTTAGATGCTCAAATAACTCACTAATCAGGGAAAAGCTAATTAAAACCACAAAAAGATACCATCATGCACCTGTTCGGACAGCTATAAAAAAGACAAGTGACAACAAGTGTTGATATGGGTGTGGAGAATAGAGAATGCTGCTGGATGGACCTGTATGGCATTACTGAAAATGGTAAAGAGGTTTCTCAAAATTTTAAAATAAAACTACTACAGTATATGATACAGCAATTCCTGGATTTTGTTTGTTTGTTTGTTTTAGGGGGGTTGTTTTGGGTATACATACAAAGGAATGCAATAAGCTCTAAGTGAAGATAGCCTATGCTTGATACAGCATCACTCAAGCTAGCTAAAGTACAGACAGAAGAGAATCTCCAACAAATGAAGGAATAAGGGGAAGGACTATGATTGTTCAGACCAAAAATAAATCTTGTCATTTACTGAACATAGATGAACAAATAAATCTAGGAGATGTTGGGCTAAGGAAAATAAAGCAGGCACTGGAAGTTGAATACTGTATATGAATTCACTTTCAAATACAATCTAATCAAAAACAGAAAGAAACAGACAATGGTGGTTTTCTGGAAATGGGGAGAGAAGACAAGAAGCCACAGGTCAAAGGGCACAGTGTAGTGATTTAGGATGATGAGGTGTCCTGATCTAGTACAATACAGGGTTAGCAATTATTGTGCACAAAAGTCTGCTATGAAAGTAGATCTCACATGCCCTTGATGTGCACTTAAGGTAATAATGTAAGATGACTGATCACAAGAACCATTTCACCATGTATACCTCAGGCAAGTATATACTAAGAAACTCAAAACTACAGTTGTGGCTCAGGGATGGTAGAATCCCAGCACTTAAGAAGCAAAGGCAGGAGAATAGTGATCTATATACCAAGTTCCAGGCCAGCCAGAGCTACATTAAATAATTGCAAAGGAAGTGATTCCACTAGAAAGAAACTGAAAACACTTGAGTACAAACACTGGAGGATTTGGAAAACACTCGAACACTAGACAATAAATTTCACATGTATTACCTCATCTAACTTTCAAACTGACTTAGGAGAGACTTTCATGACTTTTATTGTGAGGGTTCCTAAGCATTTAGTTCTGAATTGAAGGCATTTCTTCTCTAGTGCTTCACAAATAAGATGAAGAGCTCAATGTAGTCACTTCTAAAAACAATTACCAAAGGCCAAAGGGGCGGGGGAGGGTATAAAAGCAACTTCTTGTTTCATTCAATATCCATACAAGTTTTTCCACTTATTACTATTTTAAGTTAGCATACAAAGTAATGTGTTTCATCACAGCATCTTCACACACCTAATTAATTATACTTTGTTCTCATTCATTTCCCTCTCTCATGTCCAGTACCCTCCAGGTAGGTTTGCTCTCTTTTCCTAGTGAGCTCCAAGTTATGCTGTATTATTACTCATATTCCATTTTCCTATTTCCCATCTCCCTAAGATCTCTTCATCTCTTATGATCTCTCTTCCTAGTTTGGTGACTATCATATACATATATAAATATATGAACACAAACACATAGGGAGGGAGGGGGAGAGGAGGAAGGGAAGGATGAAAGAAAAGAGAATTTTGAATGTTGGTCCCATATGCGAGGAAACATGGATGTCTTTGAATCTGGTTTGTTACAATTAATATTATTTTCAGATGGATTCATTTTCCTGCAAATATCTTATAAATTTCTACATGTGCCGTATTTTCTAGGCTGGCTATCTGGTAATAGCCATCTAGGCTGCCTCCATTTCCTGACTATTACAAACAGTGCAGCAATGAACATGCATGAGCAAGTACACATAGTCGTATTCTTAGCTTTTTGAGGAGTTTCCATAATGGATGCACAAGCTCACATTTCCACTAGCCTTTTCCCCATATCCTTGCCAGCATTTGTTAATTTGATTTTGTGTGTATGAGTTTTGTCTATGTCTGTGCCTAGTGCCCATAGAGAGGCCAGAAGACGTCAGGATCCTCCAGAACTGGAGTTAACAGTTGTGAGCTGACATGTAGGTGCTGGGAATTGAACCTATATCCTCAGGAAGAGCACAGCCAGTGCTTATAAACCCCCGAGCAGTCTCTCCAGCTCCATCATTTGTTTCCTTTCCCCAACAGCTAAGGACGTTGAAGGGTTTTTCATCTTTAATGCTGCTTCTCCCTACTCTCAAAAAACCTGTTTCTAATTTTCAATACTCTTATTAATGAAATTATTTGATGATCAAAAGCAATTTTAGCCAGGCCAGAAATCACAGACCTTTAATCCCAAAACAAGAGACAGGCAGACCTACAAAGCAAATTCCAGACCAGGTAAAGCTGCATAACGAGATCCTGCCTCAAAAGATAAATGAAATTTAAAAAAAAATACCAAGCAATCTCAGAACACAAGTGCTGTGAGGGTGGCAGGGGAACACTAGGGAATAGAAAGTTTTCTGAAGGAAATAAGGAAACAAATCGGGTTGGGGGGGAAGCCAGCCAAAACTAAGGAGCTATGAAAAAGCCTTAAGGAAACCTGGTACTTGGTAAACTAAAAATAAAGAGTTGAACTGAGGTATCCTGAACAGGTAGATAATCCAACTCCCAGAAGCCATAGATTATTAAATGAAGAGTCCAGTGACTCTGCCCTCCCCCTATAGCCAGCCAAGTTGTTGGTCAAGAAGATTTGAGAACACCAAATAATACAGCTATAGTGGCTGACTGCTCACCAGAACTAGATAGCCTTATTGCTGAAGACACCACATAATCTGGTTGTAGATAGAAAAACCAAACCAAAACTGAGATTAAAAAGCTTCCTCCTTGAGGGCTAACCTTCCTAGTGCCAGAACAAGATACACAGACTGCTGGGAAAGAGTCTTACTCTGTGGTGGGTCTTGCATGGTATGTTATCAACATTAGAGGTACATCTGTTAGGGAGATAACCAAGCTCATTTTGGCTTGGAATTTCACTTCTGGTCTCATTAAATCTGGTCAAAACTTGGGACCATGGAGGCCATAAACTCTGTTGAGGAAGCTATTGCTGTTGTTTTGATAAACAGACATGATGAGCCCATCAATTTGCCTTCTAAATAATTAGGCTTGTGTCCAAAAGCTGTCAACTTTGGCCTAGGAAACTTCTGCTGCAGTGGACAGTAGTAAACTCACAACCAGTCAAAGTGACCAGAGTAACTGTTCCACGCTCAGCCATAAATGGGACATCTACAACTGCCTACCCAAGGCTCAAGGAGGAAAGAATATAAGGATCAAAAGAAAGAAAATGTTTTGGAATGTTCTCTGTGGGCATGATATGGCCACTACACTCTTGAGCCCACAGCAGATGATTATGGTAAAGGTTGGGGCCATCAATCCGCCATAGTGGGGAAGCTCATGAGGCCCCATGAGTCCCTAAGGATTGTATCTGAGGCGGGTTTTGACCTTGCCATGTAGTCAAATGATTTTGGACTTCTAAGTCTATTGTCTCCATTTTCTACATGCTAGGAATATCGGCATACCCCCACCATGCCCACTTTACCCTGAGGGAGTTGAACCCAAGAATGCTAGACAAGTACTCAATCACCTCAGCACTAAACATGAACTTTCTATAGTTATGTAGATTATTCTGAAGCACCTGAGCAAGAAAACTACTTAGCACCCCCACACCACCACCCAAAACAATGAAGCTGGAGGGGGGTAGCTGTGTGTGGACACCTATGAACATGTGTGCATTGAGTATACACATAGAGGCCAGAGTGTCAAGTGTTCTGCAGTATCACTGTCTCAGGAATTTGGAAGCAGGATGGCAGGCAACCCTAGTGATACTCCTGTCTGTAGCAACCACAGTGCTGAGGTTGAAAATGTCAATGACAATGTTCAGCTTCTTATGTGAGTGCCCAAGATTTACTTCGGTCCTCATGTGTATGCAGCATGTGTTCTTACCAAGACATCTCCCCAGACCAATGAGGTCAATTTTGAAGGGCAAATTTTAGTTATGTGTAAAAAAAACAAAACAAAACAAAACTACAGTTGTGAGCCAGGTGATGGTACTGCACACCTTTAATCCCACTTGGAAGGCAGAGGCAGGCAAATCTGTGCGTTCAAGGCCAGCCTGGTCTACAGAGCTAGTTCCAGGACAGCCTCCAAAGTCAGAGAAATCCTGTCTGGAAGAAGAAAAAGAAAAACAGGAAAAAAGAAAAAGAAAAAAAAACAAACAAACAAACAAAAAAAACCACAGGTCTGACTTTTATGGTGGAATAGAAGCTATGCCTTGAGTTGTAGTGAATGA